TAATGAATTCACCATTGCGGCGTATTTTTCAGGACTACTCCTAGGTCTGTTTGTCGAAAGTGGGATAGTCGGTGGTGGTCTTGTGAAGTCATGTGCAGGACTTGGTATACTGATTGGGTTATTTTCCGTTACCGGTTTCTGATTACCCCCAAATGGTCCTTGCAATTTGGGAGGTTGGCTGTTATTTGTTGGGTTGCTACCTGTGCTGGTTGAAGCCTTAGGAGAGCGTTCAATGGGCATTTTGTTGGTATTAGATAATTCTTAGATTTAAAAAAAAAAAAAAATAACCTTACGGTGTAATATGTGAGATTTTTATCAAATGTTTGTTGGTGTGAATAATAATAGATTGGTAATATATAGTTTTTTAGACCATTGGATTCCAAAAAAAATCTTTGACGTATAAACAAGCAATAACAAGACAATTACATATCAACATTGAGGAAGGTTCAAAAGGATAATTTATGGGATGGATATGTCCTTTACAGTTGGTGCTTTTATGTTGGTTATTAGCTCATTTTTTTCTACCACAAACAATACATATACTAACGAACATCCAGAACAATTCTATAACTGGGTTTCGTATTACAGGGTTAAAGGATAATAATCGAGCAATCTGATTTGTTACGTACGGAGTCTCAATTTATTTCCTAGTAGATATGGTTTTGTTTCTGTAACTTGAAAGGAACAATTATAGAAATACTTATAAGTTTCTCTTTCACGTTAACACGTCCTTTTAATCACTGGACGGAAAATTACAAAAACAAAATGTTACTATTTTTATCACCACAGTTATTGGGTAACCATGGCTCTGACCAGTTTTTTTTTTATTGGGCGCCATTACTGTTATGTTTCCTCCTTCAAAACGTGTCGGTCCCGGCTAATTTGTAAATGGGTCGTGGTTCAGCAACCCTATGACACTTGAGGGCATAACAAGTAAACGAAAAACTGCAACAAAATGGACTAAACATGCTAAAACAATTTGAACCAATAACCAACATTTTCGGGGGTCTAGAATACTAGCCCCCTTCATCACCCACCCAACCTAATGTTCCTCAGAACCCCTTTTTTCAGCACCAACGACATATATTCCTTTGCCGCTACATATCCATCCTTATCCCTTTTCCCCTTCCTTCAAGACAAACTAACACATCATTTTCAATACTAATCTTACATTTATTACATATTAAAATGCTTAGACATACTAATTTAAATAATATTAATTTTCTATCATGAAATTTGTTTTCTTTTTCTTTTCAGATTTAACTACAAATATTTAATAATAAAAAAAAAACTTTAAAATTATGAAATTAAATTTACTGTATAATAATGCATTGCCTTTTTTTTTTAACACATTGAAAAATGATAAAAAAAATGAATTTGAAAATTTTCCTGGGTCTAACCTTAATTTTGTTATGTCCTACTTTAGAAATTCCTCACCAGTTAGAGCTCCTCCTAGTAATTATTTCTAATGGACTAACTTGCCTTGTTTAAGAGTAGATCCCTAATGCAATTCATTTAGTTACAAAATATATTATTAAAATTAGAATAAGCAAACAAAAAAAAAATATATATATAAAATCTTAAAAGTAACAGAAAGCTAACTAGAACACACACAGACGCACAACAAAACATAAACTCGCCAATATCGAGCAACTCCTTAAAATATGCTATCACTTAGCTGTTTTTTTTTTTTTTTTTTTTTTTTGGATCCACTCTTCCACAACTCTCAGTCGGTGGACGCCAAGTGGACTCTATCACCACTCTCAGCCGGTGGACGCCAAGTGGAACTTGGTGTGTATTTATAATTGGTTCTCTTCGAGTTCCACCTTATCCACACGGTGAGCCACGGATACAAAGGTGCGCACCAAAATCCGGCGTACCACGTATGAAAACGCTTTGCTCCGATAATTCGAATTTTGTGGTTTCGTTATATTTGGCCAAAACAATTCGCTCTATTTAGAAAACACACCACATTAAAAAAAACACAGACGGTCTAAATCAACCACACTTACATTCAGGTATATTCCGCACAAGTTAAAACTAATTATTCAAACTTGTATTTTTTTTTCAAAAGTTGACTTTAAAATTGTTTCAAAATTTAAAACGGTTTTTAATGATTCCAAATCTTTATGCGTTAACCGTATTATATATATATATATATATATATATATATATATATATATATGTGTATTTATTATTTTTTTTTTATCAAGTTGAAATGAGTTGCTGCTTATTCTACGACTTCTGAGCAAATAATTTGTATCGCCTTATACCACAGCGTATAAACTTACGATCATTGGTTGTTTTTCTCAAGTTATTTTTTTTTTTTTGAGAACATCATACTCTCTGGTGCCCTTAGAATTGTTCCCTATTACCAACAAAATGTTCATGCTTGAACAACGGTCCAAGTTCAATGGTCGCATGGCCTTGAAATGTTCATATTTTTTTGGCTCATTTTACGTGCGTAATTCTCTTACGTACGCTCTTACGCACGCTCTTCCATACTTCTACTCAACACATAACTCCAATACACAACCTTTCCAACACCGGCCTGTCAAAACGAACAAGTTCCACAAACAGCTGTTTTCATACCACCACTTGGTACTGGTGGTATCAGCAGCAATAAAATTAATACGGACAAATATAAAAATAAAAAAATCTCGCGGGCAAAAAAAAACCCAACAAGCAAATATATTCTGCTCGCATTCTAAGGCGAAGTAAAAATATTGTGGTCAGAAAGAAAAAGAAACCCCAAACCAGCAATTCAATTTTGCTCGCGTTCAAAGCACCGGATGAGCACACGTCTTCCCACCCTCCTGAAAACTGCATCATATGATGCGTACCAGGAGATACGGCTTGAAAACCAGGTGCTGCACACAATTTGGACTCCTGCCCTTCTACCATAAGCCTGGATGGTATCCGTCACCTTCAGGTATTTAAAATATTCGGTTTGGGCTAAGGTACCCAATTATGTTAGCCAGCGTTACAGTCGACTCTGCCTAACTGAAACTCGTTGGCTAACTATATGATTTTATTTATGTTTCAGGCATGAACTGAACAGGCTATGGCATATATACTGTCTAGCTTGTCTGTTGCTTATGCCGAGAAAATCGGAATGTTGTCCCCCAATCTCCTACCCGTCCCTTTTCCTTAATTCCAGCTGTCGTTTACTATCTCACTGCTACCCTCAACAAGGTGAGTTTATACATTTGTTATTGAAAAGATAAATTCATTAACATCAATGCCGGCCATGTGTTGACTACTTTGCGCAACATTTCAGACTCAATTTGAAATAATAAAAAAAGACTTCCTACACAAATGATAGATAGATGTGGTATATTACAATCTGTTTGTATTTCCCTTTTGTGGATGCGAAAGTAGAGGTAAGACGATTCATGGCCTTCCACGCCCTTCACCACGACCATGTTCTCAACATTTGCAAAGGAGACGCTTTAAAAAGAAAATATTTATTTCTCATTTCGCAGAACAAGAATCCAATGCTAGATTTGCTTCGATATACTTTCCATCCATTCTTCACCTGATTTAAGAAATGTATTTGCTCTGCGAAAAATGATGCATGAATTCCTAACTTCAGTTGGCTGCATGTGGAAAGATGGTTCTCTTTTACGACAATCTCTCTTGCATTTCTCAAAAAAGCCAGCAAAAAAAGGTGGGGGGGTGGATAGAGCTGTTATTAGGTGTGTCTGGTTACCCTAAAGTTTGTAACAATTGTTACAAATTGTTACTGGAAGTCGTCTGTTAACCCAAAAGTTCTGCAAAAGAGAGCTGTTGGAGAGAGAAATTTTGACAGTTCTTTCAGTGAGAGTATGCAAATTCTTGCTGGACAAATTTCTTCTTGCAATCTCTTGCAACTCTTCTTCTTCTCATTCATCGACATTCAGATGTTTTCTATTGTTCATTTATTTCTTTTTGTGATTTTAATTTGAAAATATTATTTTGGAATTAGCAAGACTAATTGTTTTTAGAGAACAACTTTACAAAATGTGAAAAACGTAAATGTTAATATGTAATAAGAAAATAAAAGACTATTTTCAATATTTTTACTTAAAAAACTTGTAAAATTAGTATTGGTCCCTTTGTTTTAATTCTCCTTATGGGGGACAAATTGATCTGTTTACTTTTTTTGAATTTTCCTTGCAAAAGAGAATAAAACTACCTTACTCTCTCAGAAAGATGTTGCTGGACAATTCCTGCTGGAAAAGTAACCAGACACACCTATTGTTATTTGTGGCCAATATACCACATAGATTTAGGATGTTTATTGCGGAATGGATTTGATGGTATCGGATGCTGCACCCATATGATGGCATTTGAACAAACTTTGAAGAAAATTATTATCAAATAAAAACCTAAATACCTCTCTGAGAGACCTTTGTTTTCTCAATCAAAAAATTGATGCGAATTAAGCGAATTCCCTATAGGAGTCACACACCATATATAAATCATCCGCGGAGCGCTAGCCATAACAATTTTGTATATTTAATTTCCCATTAATCCATCATTTTTATGACGATAAAAGGTTTCAGACAATAATTTAGTTATTTTTTGAAGCCAAGTAGTTCGACTGGTAAGAATCTGCATGTATAAAAAAAAACTACGATACTTTAACCTCGGAGAGAAAATACTCTCCGTAAACTTTACTGAGTAATATTATTAGTAATAAAACAATGGACGATTTTGGACATTTTTTATATGGAAAACATTTTTTATATCAAAAATGAGCGAAGGGAATATAAATTCACACATTGCCGAAGAATATGGCTGTGTATGATAAACGGAAATTTTTATTTATTAATTCATCCAATACCCTCATTTTTATTTCTGTTTTAATTTTAATACCATTATGGCCTGTTTTTAAATGTCAAAAAAAAAAACCACTAGGACTGACAAACATGAACGACGATGTGTTTGCCTTTTTATGTTTATCGAAACAGCTGATTACAGTGCAGTATTAAATGGTAGTAAACCATTCGGCTGCAGTAGCGTAGCACAAGTGAGGAAGTTTTTCACAATATGAAGGAGGAAACTATTGGCCATAACATTTAAGTCTGGAAAAAATTAACACATGATATTTCTGGAATAGAAAATGACATTCTCTTAATGCCACTTGAATAACCTATGCGTCAAATGCCTGTCATACACCAGCATATTTATCATACTCCTGAATTCACATTCGCCTACACTGCCTACGCCTCTGCTATACTTCTTGACCAATTGTCATTATTTTCAATATGGCGAAGTTTTTTTTGTTGAACGCACGCATTCTTTATTCATAGTCTGTTTTTTTCTAAACATTAATTAATAAATATTACAAATAGAATTAAACGAATTGAAAACGTCTCTTTTACGGTGAAGATATATGAATTTCTAGCGCGGCACGAGTACGAGGAATTACAAGGAAATGTGTCATCAGCATTAGCAACTAGTAATGAATCCATTTAATGAACGATCCAAGTTCTTTTCAGGTAAGCAGATCCATATCGTCATGCAGAGATGTAGAGCCAATTCAAGTGGAGGAAAATTAAAAAAATAATAGGAACAGAAAAACATGTCTACTCCTACATCTTCAACTGTTGCACCACCATTGCTGGCGAGCAATTTGTAACAAGAATGACCAATCAATCATCCCATTGTATTTGTTTACAGTCGGGTCTGTGTAAATGTAAATTACCAAAATAGAATTGAGAACGTACAGCCTGAAAATGTGGAGTCATTTCTTTAGCCAAAATTATCTCCGATTATCAAAGTACATTTAGAATACCTTCAAATGACTCCCCTCCCCCTTCTCCGGCCTAAGATATACACTGTTTACGTTAGAGAACTTAAGTGCTGCTATGCTAACTGACTGACTGGCTGGCTGACCGTATTGTGGTTTTATTAATTAATTAGCGGTAATAAACGACTTTTTTTATCGACTAATTGACCCCCTTTTTGTGTAAACTGTGTTGTTGGGCAGGGAGGGGTTCTTTTGCCGTAACTTGCTCCCTGGAGATTAACGCTGTGACGACAGTATCTTTTTTTAGAATTGCCCTTTTAAGTTATAATCAAATCTTAATTTATAAATACACCATACATTACAGATAATCAACATCGCGAAGCAATGGATATTTCTTCCAACAAAGCCAATCCAATCAAGAGCATTCTCTATTGTTTGGAGAAATTCCAAGTTACTATTTTAGCAACAGATAGTGGTGGTCTGGGAAATATAGAATTGACACAGGTAACTTATTGCTAGGAACCCATGCCAACCACAACAACCACACCACCGAATTCTGGACAAGTCGATCTACCTATTATTTTAGCTGCATATTCTAATCACATTATTTTCCTGAGTGTATAATATGCGAGATAATCCTTTTCATCTGTTTTTCAGATACAATTGGACATTGTTGTTTAGTGACATTGTCATCTTTCAGAGGATTCAACGTGTATATAGAAGAGACTTTCCTCGTGACGACAACACCGCAATTTTCATAACTGCAGGTCTTGCCGCTACAGCTGTTTGTTGTTTGGAGAATTATAGAATTATATACTTTTATTGCGGCGGCAAAATGATTGGCCCAAGCAGTAAGATCAGCAAAATACTGCTGGGACTACTTTTGCTACTCATCGTTTTCTACATATATATGGATGTCCAGTTGTACCTGCGTATACAAAACTATCCCCTAGAGAGAAATTATCACTTCAACACAACCACCGATATACCTCAGCGTGATGTAGTGACGTACGAGTCCCAGACATGGCTGCGCTGTGATCTCAATCCACTGTGCCATGTCACGGTGAAAGCTATACTCTTAGACCACACAAACCATTATGTTTTTGCGCCATTGGCGACGATATTTGACAATGTTATTGGGTTCTCGAGATCTTCGTTTATAACAGCCAATATGATATCATTTTTCCATGTGGGTGTGGCGTGTGTGGCAGGTAAGCTGGTGTCGTCCGACAGTCTGGGCTATCGGCGCTTGGGTGTGGTCTTATTCCAGTTCCGTACCTTCCTCGATGACCTCGATGGTCATGTGGCCCGAGTTAAAAAGAATATACGCGGCGAACGCTCTGAAGTGGGCACAACGGGTTACTATGTCGATGGCATTTGTGACGGCCTGGGATGTATTGCCCTGTTGCTGGGCATGTTTTTCTACTTGAAAAATAATCCGCCGCGCCGCGGTTATCTTCAATTGCCAATGGTCGATACACGAGCCGATGTGCCGTCCAAGACGAAAATAAAGCCCACCACCCGCAAGGTCGCCAAGAAAGTCATCAGCTTTACAGGCCAGCTGTTACTGAGCTCCACAGCCTGGAATCGTTATATTGCCGTCTACCAAAACATGCTGGAGCGCACCGATGTCACGCCCGCCCAAATATCCTACCAACAGATTGTCTTCAAATCAACATGGTTCTTCTGTGTGGCCTGGCTGTGGCGCATTGTCAATGTCCATTCGTTGATGCACTGCGTGCTGCTGAGCATATTCTGCGACAAGCTGTTTGAATTCCTCAAGGCCATCCAGTACAGTGGCTACATAATCCTGCTCGTGTGCATTTGCATAACGGAAATGCATCTGCTGGAGGCGCATAACTTCATCTACAACACGATGAGCAGTGGTAGTAACATAACGTCTTTCTGATAAAACAAAACCGATTTTATCTACCCCTATTTTTTACTTTTAACGTTTTTCTTTACTATTATTAACTATAAATAATAATGTTTTTCTCTTATTGCAATTGATGTGTTATAAAATGTGAATGTATGTATGTAAATGTTGTAAAATATATATATGATATTTTGGATAATAACCTAAATGATGGAGTATTGTGATTTGATTGTGTGCCGCAGAAAGGGTAGAGAGATGGTTTCCAGGAATTCGGTTGTGCGTGTGTGTGGTTGGTAGACCATATAAAACGTCTTGGCTAATTGTGGTTCGTTTCTATTGTGTAGCACATGTCGGAAGTGGGTTGGAACTCAAAAGGTGGCATTGCTTTTGTGGAGTCTGGCAGTAACTATGCCTTCTCTTCAACGGCGGAGAAGTATTATTTTGGAAAAAGATCAATTAGTAGCCATTCCAATTTCATAGTAATATTGTGTGTTTTCTCAAAGTTTGAAAAACAGTTTTTAATATTTCCAATTCTCCATATCTAGAATATAACCGAGGAATGTTTGCTCAAGGAACTTCTAAACGATCCATTGCTAACGAATTATGGTGTTCTCATAATGACAGACGCCCTTAAGCGTACCGTCATGACCGATGCCATTTTGGCAATTTTGAAGAAAGTCATAAGAAAACGTCCCACCCTAAAGTTGATTCTGGTGGCCGTCTCCAAAGAGGCTAATTTTCTACAGGAATACTTTACGGCTGCTGCCAAAGATCGCAAAGACCGCAAGGCCGAAATAAGGAGTGTCATTCTATCCATTGACGACCACAACAAAGGTGTGGTCCAAGATATTCTCTACTTGAAAGAACCTTGTGCCGACTATGTACAGAAAACCATACGCACCATTCTCAGTATACACACACAACGGCCATTGGACGGTGATGTAATTGCCTACATGGCCTGCGAAGAGGATATCAGCAGTGCTATGGCTCTGCTGCGTGAAACCGAAGGTACCAGCAATCTGAATTACTTCAGATTATCACAAATGAAAAATGAAAGGGAAACGGTTTTCTTTCCCACCACCAAGGGAAAGCGAAATGTGGTTTTCACCATAGAACTGTATCAAAGTTCCGTAACACAAGATCGTGTCTACTATGGTATGTATTTTGGATTACGGAGAAATAAGCTAAGGATGAGAAATTGTAATATTTTTATTTCATTTCAGTCATCGACTGTGGCTTTATGCAATTGAATTGGTACGAGTCGTCACAGAACCGAAATCACTACTTGACCGTGCCCATTTGTAAACATATAGCCGGCTTGCGTAGCAATTGGAAGAGCAAACACCGAAAGGCCAAGGTATTTCGGTTGTATACGAAGGAAGATTTTCAGGCATTGGCCGACAGGACTGTGGTGGAAATGCGTCGAACTGAATTGAGCTCCATTATTTTGTACCTAAAAGCTTTGGCGGTCAATAATATACTTCGATTTGATTTCCCCTCAGCACCGCCCGCAAGAAATGTACTTACCACCTTGGAGAGTTTGTTTGCCTTGGGTATGTAAAAGTTAGACGAATGTAAGGAAATATTGCATTTACATTTTTTTTAAAATTCCCTTCTTGAGGTTTGAGGTTATGTTACCAGATCAAAGGTTGGATTTGGATTCGTATTAATTTTTTCGACACTTCGATCGTTTGTGTTGACCATTTTTATAATGTTTTATTGTTAATAAACAACAAATTTTTACAAAACGTAAATTTTTCTTTTGGTAACATAACCTTTAACCGAACTAAAATTTCGAAAGAAAGCCCAGAGATCGAATGTTAACCAAAATAGTGGGGCTTAATCATAGTGTTTGTTACCTTGATCTAAGCTGTAACTGTGAAAAATTACAACAGAATAAAAACCAAAAACTCTACGTTTTCCTTTGCCGGCTATGCTGTGTCTGAGAAACGTTTTTGGTTCGGGTTACTATTGTTGTGCTTGCAGCTAATTTAAACACTGTTTTTATAGCCTCAGCCATATGACTATAGAGGGTGTATATCATTTGATACCGCCAAAACGCGCCCAAGGTCTCTTTGGACCAAATCCGTTTCAGGACATTTGGAGTCGATCCAGCGATGTCCGTCCGTCTGTCTGGCTGGTGCGCACGATAACTTTCGAAGCGAGTATTCGATTTTATCCAAACTTGGTGCATTGTAATATTATTGTTAAACTGTGGTAGAGTTCGGAGATGGGTAATATCGGTCCAGTCCTTCTTGTACCTCCCCTACAAAATGTCGACATTTTCAAAGAAAATAATTTACTGCACAGAAGGAGAAAGGTTAATCAAATTTTGTTCCAACTTTGCAAATCCTATGGACAATATCGGTCAACTCCATTAAGTACTCTCCCACAAAGGGTTAAAATTTTGAATAATTATAACTCATATAAAATGTGATGTGAGGGTCCGATTGTCTTCAAATTACTCACATCACAATATTTTCATTAACCCAAGGTCTGGTGTGAAGATGGAATATATCGGTTCACTGCTTCTGGTACCTCCCCCACAAAGGGTAAGCATTTTGAATATCCACGAAGCTCATAAAACGCGAAAGCAACGTCCGATTCCATTCAAACTTGCCACATCTCAATATCTCCTTCAATACAAAATCTGTTATAAAGATGGTAGAGGTTGAACCATTTCTTCTGGTACCTCCCGCACATAGGGATCACGATTTTGAAAAACAAAATGCTCAAAGAAAGCTAAATAAGCATCCAACTCTCTTCTAATTTCACACATCCAAATATTTTTTCTAACGCAAGATCTGTTCTTAAGTTGATATACATCTGCCAACCCACAAAGGGTCACAATATTTCTCTTAACCAGAAATACCAAAATTTTTTCTAAAAAAATTGTTTTTCATTTCTCCATGCAGGTGGACTCGACGATCAAGGCCACTTGACTGATCCACTGGGTTATTTTATGTCTGAATCACCACTGCCACCAGAACTGAGCCGTTGCCTCTTCACTTCTGCCGAAATGTTGTGCTCCGAGGAAATCCTAAACATTGTTTGTATGTTGCAGATTGAACCCATATTTATTGTGACCACCAACAACATTGCCGATCGTCACAAACAGATCGCCAAACGGAAATTTGAGGCTGCCGAGGGTGATTTAATAACGCTGCTCAATATTTACCAGGCATTTGTGGAGAATGCATTGAGTAAAGATTTCTGTCGCAAATACTATCTGAACTATTACAGTTTGATGCGGGCCCACAGACTACGCGAACAGTTGCAAGCATCGTTGTTCAATAAATACAAGTTAGGTTTGAAGTCCTGCAAGTCGGTGGAACAAATCTTAAAATGTCTCACTTCGGGTCTCTTCATGAAGGTGGCCTATTTACATCCTTCGGGTGCTTATCGTACCTTACGTTGTGGTTCGGAGGTTTATGTCGATCGAGATTCGGCCATTTTTTCAATAGCCCAACCCAAGTACGTCGTATATGTGGACCTGTACGATAAAACGAAGATATTTATGCGCAACATAAGCGTCATCAAAGAGGAATGGTTGGACGAACTGGCCCCTCACTATTATAAGAGATTTAATAAAAAATGACTTCCCATTTGAAATTCAAAATAAACTCCAATGATTTCGTGTTTTTTTGTTTTAGAATTTATGGGTGTTTTATTAAATGCAATGGTAATGATTTCGGTTCTATTAATTATACGGTGTTTTGTTGTTTTTCTTCTTCTTCATCTTCTTCGTCTGATGCTGCTGCTGATGTTGCTTTTTCGTAGATGTCAACTCGCGTCTTCTTTCTTCGACTATTTCGAAAATACCATACCGTACGTTGTTATATATTTTTGTTTTGTTTTTTTTTTTAATATTATGCAATAAATTGTGTGTTTAATAAAATTTGACAAATACTTTGTTGTTGTTGTTGTTTGCTGATGTTGGGTTGTTTCTTCATTTTTTTGTTTGTTTTTCTTTTACTTTGAAAGCGTTTATCTCTTTGTTTTATGTTCTCTATATATTTTACTTTACTGTGCGCACTTTTAAAGTAAAAATGTGTGTGTGTTTATATACATAATAAGTGATGCTGCTTTAATTAGGCGGATTTCGAGGATTCTCGCTGCTTGGTATATACATGGGCATAGGTACAGCTGAATTGTAAGCACTAGGCCGTTGGTATGTGCCATCCTCAACGACACCACCGTTCATGGCGTACTCGTCCACCTAGAATTGGTAAAAATTGAAGAATATGAACAAAGTAGTTGTGGGTAAAACTGTCACGAGCATCTATCCTACTTACCATTTGACGCAGCATTTGGGTGTCTTGGCAAGATCTTGCTTGGGATTGATGCGACTGCTGTTGCTGTTGGTCGTCCTTGTTGCGGGCCGAGTTGCTGGTGCCTCGCTGAATGGTTCGATCCTCGTAGCGTGTGCGTCCCTGTGAGGCCATGGGCCGATTCAATGTACTGTTCGAATTGTTGGGCGAGTGGGCTGACGCACTATGAGAGTCAATGAATTTTGTTAGGAAATCCTGTTCCTTCCAGCCATGCTTTTTGTAAACATCCCGCAGTTCGTGATGCTGCCACATTGTGAACAAGACCTGACTAGCAAATTTGTTGACGCACGAAGTATACTTTTGACGCTGATTGGTGATGTTCATGAGACGCTCAACACCGCCGGCGTCCAGCAGAGATCGCGAGAACTCGGCGTTCTTTTTAATCACCTCATTGATGGTGGCCAGTACAGCAGTGATCGTGTCATCGGAGGTATTTTGATCGTGCTGGGGATTACCGGAAGGCAACTTTTGTACTAAGTCCCGCATAGCATATTTGCCTATCAGCTCTTTGTTGCGCTGATCAATGGCCAAATTCCTTAAAGCTGTAGCAACGGCGCACACCACGCGATCCACTTCCATTCGCAGTAACTCGACTAATATCGGCAAGCCCTTTTCTTTGCGAACGGCTGCCCGTATGTCTATGCTCGGCTGCCAATAGCAGGCCGATAAATTTTGTATTGCACCAGCTGCCGCCTCAAGCGTTTCGGGATTTGAGCAACTTTGCAACAGAGCCAAATAATATTGCACTACTTCGGGTTGCCACAAATGTTCGTAGCCCTTTAGTGGTCCTCGGTTGCTTTGATCGCTGCCATTGTTCTTTGAACTTGAGCCGGATTGGACGCCGCCGTCCAGCTGTTCACTTTGGGCTTGAGCTTTCTTCTTTTTGCTAGTGCCAAAGCAGCCGAGGTTTTCGCCTAGAAAAGAAATCGCAATTAAAGGGTTTTCGATCTAATAAAACCATTCAACTTACCCTTGCTCGAGGATAAAGCTCTGGTCGGCACAGATATTGGCTGCTTATCGTAATTCGGGTCTTCGACCTCCTGGCAGCGATACGAGAGGTTACGTAAAATGCACACACAATTCTCTACGGTCTTATTACTAATGTTGTTCTTTTCAATTGCCTGACGCACAACGTAGAGTAGGCATTCCACCAAATGATCGCAATTGCGCAACTGAGTGCGTGCGTATTCACCTGCGGAGCTTACATTGCGCAGAACGCCTGATGCATTTCGAAATACTGTGGAAAAACATGTGTCACCGGGACAGGCTGGGTCCCAGCCGGAATGTGGATGTATAATATTACTAACGATCGCCGACAAGCATTCATCGATGATAAAGCGTTTAATATCTTCACACGAAGACATATTCCAGAGAACACCCGTCACTGTAAACAAGGAAACATCATCAGTAACATAAAAGAAAACATATCACACATTACCCCCAGAGGAGGAGCCTCACCGAGTTCTCTAACTTCAGACTCTTGTGTACGACATAATAAATTGACCAAGGCTGCTAGACCACCAGCGTTTTTGATTTCTCTTTTGTTTTCATCATTTTGTCTACCATACGACAGATTTCTCAAGGCTCCACACGCATTTCTGAAATTATTTTTCAAAAATTAACTATTGTTCTCTATCACACTACACTTCTACACTTGTACATACTTGTAGATCTCAGGTGCCTCGTAGGAAAGCAATCTTATCAGAGGAGGTATGCCGCCCAAGATACGTGTTCGTTGTTTGATTGGATCATCCATGTAGCACAAATGCTGCAAATATGCTGCGGCATTGGCCTTAATTGCATTGTTTGGGTTATTGAGAAAGCTTATGACTTCAGACAAATTTGGATCTCGCCATCGCATAGTGGAACAAATGTCACTGCAAGATCCGTCCACCATTTCATCCTTTCCGCCGTTACGCATGTGCTGCGACACAATACCGAATGAACTAATCGTCAGTTGGGACATTTTATTTTGGAAGTCGTGAGCGTCATCGAAACCCGGTTGGGGCAGACCTATGGCACTAGCGACCTCAGCACCATTCCGGTTGTCATCGAACATGGGTGGTCTTGTGACGTAAGCATTCGATTTGGCACTTACCGAAGGCATAACATAGTTAGCTTCAGACACATAGCCATAGGCCACGGGTGCATCTTCCCCATACTGGGATTCCGGCGGAGGAAATTGCATTACCGGATTCATGCCATACTCCGCCATTTCCTCGTACTGGGAAGGTTGTAAATAACGAAGATTTGGTGCTGGCATCATTCCACCCTGATCCGGCTGCATGGCGGCTGAACTATTGAGTTCTTGTACCGAACTTGTCAAATTGCTCTGCGAGCCAATTACCTTTGCTGAGCCATGATCAGGGCGATATGAGCATTGGGAGCCCAAGCGCCCCGCCATGCCCATGCCAGCTGAAGCCTTGGTCGTTGCGTAGAGTGAAGCATTTGGATACACTGTGGTATATTGTCCGTACTCCTGCAGAGCAGCGTTCTGTGCTTCAAAATCTGCCTCGTCGTTTAAACATACCGAAGGCTCCATGCTAGATGGAAGTTGTCTTTTCGCTTAAAATTCCCTTGTCCTCAGCACGATGATTCCTAGTCCTGCAAAGGGAAGAAATTCAATTACCAAGAATCACTGGGCGACATTGCTCGTACATACGTAAATCTAACTAAACGTCGTTTGCCATCAATGACCGACGTTTACAAAAATCCAATCCTGAAACAACGAAAAAATCCCAATTATTCTCTTTCAAAATTTCCACTCGAACGCAATTTCAAGTCAAAAATTAACACAGCTTAACATTTTCATTTTCACTGCCTTTCCGAATCCAACAATTCGAATTGGGCGTAAAACGCCGAAGAAAAAAGACGCAGAAGTCGGCGACTGCGAGTAAATTGTATCTTACATAGTATATATGTATGTTTCGTTGTACATTATTGATTTTTTTCAAAAGGCTGAGAACTTTTTACATGCTGCTACATACATACACTTAACATTCTTGTTATACATATGAATGCGGCGGCTCTTGTTCGCGATGCAATGCATCACAATGGAATTGCCGTGCTTTCCTTTTCGACTCGAAAAAGTATCGAGAGTGCCAACAAGGATTGGATTAGATGGATATACGACGACAATTAGCAGCTTACAAATAATACAAATTAAAATTAGCAAACAACTTTCTCCACAAACAATTGTTGACCGCACCTGATTTTTTAGAATAACACATACACACACATACACGTTCATTCATTAAGGGGGTAGATATCGATACGACAAAGAATTAGGACGACGGTTTGCGTCTCAAAGAGAATAATGAATGTTTTAATTAATCACTTGTGTACTTTTATTCACTTCGAGTTCGTCCATCTTCAAAAACAAAGTTTCCAGCATACGCAATGGGTTTCTAAATATTTTTTCCGTAATTTTCCTATAGAAACTGAAGTTATGTGTATTAAAATACAAAGAAATTTTCAGAGACGCCAGTTACTGTTCCCTGCAAATAGAGATGTGAAGATCGATTTTTGACATTTACTCAACCGAATAATCAGCACATATTTGAGTAGCTCAAAAAAACCGAATACATAAATAAGAATCAGAAGCGTACAGGTTTTTTTTATTTAAAAGTACTTTTGTTTATTTAAGACTTCGTTCAATAAAGTTTAATAAAGTTCGTGAAAAATGAAAAGAAGATAAGGTTTTTATTTTAGAATATAAGAATTATACATTGTAAATTTTTCATACGCAGATACATGAATGTGATACATGAACGCATTTCAGTTGTGAGATACATGAGGAATGTACATATGTACTTTTTCACATGTCCTTGTTCCATAGCTAAGTATAATTAAATCAAAAGTCTTGTGTACGCATATATATAGAATTATATTTGCGTTAAAAAGTTATCCGCAAAATATTAAAATTTGTTATAAAGGAAATAAAAACATATGCATGATAGAAAAGAGTTAATATCGCATTTTCACCATTGAGGATTGATCAACTGGGTTCATTAGATCTAGAGAAATGCAATCCTGAGGCTAAGTCCGCTTTGTTATTCTATAAACATTAACAAGTTTGTGATATACAGGGTAAGATAAAACATTGCAAAAAAATTCAAACGCCATAATTTTTACATTTCTTTTTAAATTTTAATGAATAAAAGCAAAAAATGTCGGAAATAGCATCAAATTTTAGATTAAGTTTAGCTTTGTTCGAATTGGTCAACTTTGGCACGAATTATGGCCTTCAAACGGCCAATGAAACCGTCACAAGCTGCCCGAATGTTGCTCTGGTGTATTTTGGCCCATTCGCGGCGAAGCGCTTGCTTGAGGTATATTTAGTGCCAACCTTGCTTTCCAAAATACTCCAGACACAATAGTCCAACGGATTGGTATCGGGAGATGTTGGTAGTCATTGTGCGCTGGAACTGAAGCGAGGGACTTCAATTTGTAACCATTCTTAGCGCGTGGCGCGTGCTGATTGCGATGATGCTGAATACTGTTGCAATGTCCAAGGTCTGCGGCAAAATGTTTGCGTGCCCATGGCTTTAATACACCCTCCAAAATATTTTCCTGATAATATTCGGAATTTATTCTGGGAATATTTGGCGAAGGGAATATTGCGATATTTTAATCTCATTTTTCGGCCACTGCGACGTGGGTTTCGATCAAGTCGCTTCTTCACTTTTCGAATCATTTCTGCTGATGTTGCTGTTTTCTTCCGTCCACTTCCTTGACGTCGGGCTACGCTACCCAGTATCACGGTAAAAAGCGATGGTACGAGACACAAAAGATTTATTCACATTTAAATGCTGGAGTGCTCTAAAGATAGCCATTTGTGGTTTTCCAGCCAAAAATAAGGAAATCACACTATCACGCTTGAATACCATCACAAATAATTTTTTTTTTTTTGGAAAATTCTCACCAAATTGATTTTGTACGCTTGTAAATAATATAATGGACTGTCACTGGAATACTTTTAACAGCTGTCGGACGAGTGGATTAGAAATTACAGCAGTCTGAAGTTGTTTGCAATTTTTTCATCTCACCCTGTAGGTTAGGTTAGGTTAAAGGACGCGCAGCTGCATTTAGCAACTGCTCCACTCGGAGACCTATAGGTCCATTGTGTTCATCCTAGGAAAGAGTTAGAGCGAAAGATAGAGAAAGTATAAGAATTGACAGTAGGAAATAGATAGTACGTAGTCTACGGCTGAGTTTGCCGTGTCGTCTTTAGCCACTTGAACCTTCTGGCTAATTGAAGGATCACTGCAGGGTCCGTGGTAGAAAAAGAGGACAAATCACGTGACACTAGTTCTCCCACTAGTTTATGTCTCACGTTAATGAGCGCTGGGCAGTGGCAGAGCAAGTGTTCGATTGTCTCAATTTCTTCTTCATCTTGACAGATCCTGCAGTAATCAATATCATCGCTGTCCCATTTTGAGGTCATAGCCCTCACCTTACAGTGACCTGTGATGATGCCCACCACAAGTTTTAAATCTGGTTTAGACAATGACATCAGCGATCTTGTTCTCTTCTCTGAGAGCACAGGCCAGATTCTTTTGGAGATGGTACATCCCGTTTCATCCAGCCATTTTTGTTGTGTCTTTTCCTGGTAGTGTTTGCGAACGATCTGTAGGAAGTGGCACAGTGGTGGTTTGACCGAATTATCTATTTCTATTGTAGTTGATTCGGATCCTAGCCTGGCCAATTCATCTGCAGTTTCGTTACCTGTGATATTGTAATGGCCGGGAACCCAACAAAGCTTGATTGACAACCTAGAGTGTTCCAAGGCTTCCCTGCAGCTTAAAACAGCCCTAGACTTGATAGTAAAGGAATTTAGTGCTTCCAGTGCCGCCTGACTATCGACATATATAGTCACCGGACTTCCGACCTCTATGTTCCTCGTGACTAGCAGGTCTATGGCCTTTTTGACCGCCAGGATTTCTGCCTGAAAAACGCTACAATTGTTTCTGAGCTTGTAGGATTCACGGATATTAAGGGTGTCACAGAAGACACCTGCTCCCGTACCGCATTCCATCTTTGAGCCGTCGGTATATACAGATATGCCGCGGAAAGGTGGGCTGTTTTGGGACCAGGCTTCTCTTTCAGGTATGTGTATATCAGGTGGGCAGAAGCTTAATCGTGGTGAAATATAATCACTTGCATAGGCTATCTCTCCCACAGTCCTTACACGCCTTAGAATCGTAGAGTGACCAAATGGTTGACTACGCCATTCACCTAGTTCCCTGAGCCGAAGAGCACACCTGAATGCCAGTTCCTCTACATGTATGGCCAGCGGGCTTAAACCCAGTAGAGTATCTAGCGCAGCTTGAGGCGTGCTCCTAAAGGCACCCGTTATTAGTAAGGATGCGGCTCTTTGGACTTTGTTAATGTTGCGTGAGTAAGTTGGCTTCTTTAGAGAATGCCACCATACTAGAGATCCATAGGTTAGAATGGGGCGAACGATTGACTCATACAACCATTTAATGATGTATGGTTTGAGGCCCCAGCTTTTACCTATGGAGTTCTTGCAAGAATAGAGTGCGATAAAACCTCTTTTGGCTCGTTCCTCAATATTCCTCTTCCAACTTAATTGTCGGTCAAGGATTGTACCAAGGTATTTGGCCTCTGGTGAGAGGTTTAGAGTGACTCCATCTAGTCTTGGTAGTGTAAATAACGGATATTTACGCTTCTTAGTGAAAAGTACGAGCTCTGTTTTTGCTGGGTTCACGCCTAGCCCGTTTTGACGTGCCCACCGTGATAGAGTGACTAGAGCTCCTTGCATTAGGTCCGAGATTGTTTGCGGGAATTTCCCGGCAATTAGTAGGACGACATCATCAGCGTATGCGACTACTTTCGTCCCTGTTACCTCTAGATCTATAAGTATGTTGTTAATAACCAAAAGCCAGAGTAACGGTGATAGGACGCCCCCTTGTGGCGTGCCCCTAGTGACCGATTTCCTGACAGATGTTTCCCCAATGCTCGAGTTGATGATTCTGCTGCTAAGCATGTTATCAACCCAGTCTATGAGGAGTTGTGGCAAATTAAGTTTTGATAGTGACTCATGAATGGATTCCAACGTGACGTTGTTGAAAGCTCCCTCAATGTCGAGGAAGGCAGCCAATGTGAATAAGGAGCCATTCATGTTCTTCTCTATATACCCTACGACATCATGTTGCGCTGTCTCAACAGATTTGCCTTTCATATAGGCATGTTGAGCAGTGCTGATGGCGGTTTGGGGTATTAGAGATCTGATCTCTATGTCTATCAGCCTTTCCAAGGTTTTCAATAGGAAGGATGAGAGACTTATCGGTCTATAGTCCTTGGGAAGTGAGTGACTCGGTTTCCCCGCTTTGGGGATGTAAGTGACTGTGACTTCCCTCCATGATTCTGGGATGTAGGATAGACGCAGACAAGCTTTAAAAATCTCACTCAGTACTGGTGATATTACCGCTGAGACATTTTGGAGCATAGCAGGAATAACACCATCTGGTCCTGGAGATTTGAAAGGTTTGAATGTATCTATGGCCCACTTGATTTTGGGTAAACTTACTATTCTGTCAGCCAAGTCTTGGTCCCTAGTTGTATGATCATGATGTACTTGATCGGTTTGCCGATTGCTTGTCGCGTCAATACAGCCGGGGAAGTGCGTGTTGGCTAGCAGGTTAAGAGTCTCTAGTCCAGAGTCAGTCCATGTGCCGTCAGTCCGTTTTATACTTCCGATGGATTTAGGGTCCTTCGAAAGGACTTTACGAAATCTGGAGGCTTCGTTGACACTTTCAATCGACTCAGTAAAGCATACCCAAGATGAGCGCTTGGCCTTCTTGATCTCACTGTTGTACTTGTTGAAGGATGCTTTGTAGGCATCCCAGTCCGTACTATGTTTGGTCTTGTTGGCCCTATTGTACAGTCGTCTACTATCCCTCCTTAAATTGGCTAAATGTTTTGACCACCAAACAGGTTGACATTTCTTTCCCGGGTGGGTTAGTGGACAGACTTTTTCATAACACCCAATTAAGGCACTAGTTATCGCATTTACGGAGTTGTCTATATCGAGGGTTGAGGTTAAGACCATGTTGTCGAAACGGTGAAGCCAGGGTATAGCCAGCTCCGTAAATTTGTCCCAATTTGCCTTTCTTGGGTTTCTATGAGGTTTTTGATGAATACCCTCCACCAGTATTTTGAAATTTATCTTTCGATGGTCTGAGAATGAACATTCGAGAGAAACTTTCCAATCTAGTATGAGAGATTCATCCATGTTAGTAAGGGTGAGATCAATGACCTCAGCCCTGTCTTTGACTAGAAATGTTGCATCGTTGCCCCTATTACATATTTTAAGGTTATATTTCAAAATAAAATCAAAAATCGACTCACCTCTGACGTTAGTATTCGTACTGCCCCATTGGAAGTGGTGTGCGTTGGCATCACAACCTATAATTATGTGCCCGTTGTTGACCAGATCGTCGAGCAGCTCCTCTACCTCGTGGCCGGGTGGGTCAGGTCGCTCATACGGTAGGTAGAGAGAAATGAAAAAGAGAACCCTCCCGGATTTGCATTCCATTCTCGCTACCGTGACGTCTCCTCCACTGTAGTTGCTAAGGAAGATAAGATTTAAACTCTTTTTGGCAACAATACACGTCCTTACCTTATCACCATTGGAGACCGCGTAAGTGACATACTGCCCACTCCCTAACCCAGTTACCCTATTATTGTATGTATAGGGTTCCTGGATTAGGGCTATGTCAACTTCAGATCTCGTGAGGGATAGGAGGAGTTCAGCAGCAGCTGCTTTGCAGTGATGCAGATTAATCTGCATGATATTGAGTAGCTGCTGCTTCCTTCCTCCTAATGCGTTAGCCGGAAGCGGATCCATCCGGCGCCGAAGTGCAATTTTCCCCCACGAGCTTGAAGATACTCCTGGCCATCCTTATCCATGGATACCTTGATGACCAGGCCCCCTCCCTCAGTGGTAGAACTGACAAGACGCCAGCTGTCTGTTTTGAGGTTGGGGTTTTGCTTGCCTAGTATTGTCAGGATGCGTGCCGGATCCACAGATGGTGGTGGCACCCATGCTGTCAATACTCTACGGCAGGGGATGTCCTTTAAGGATACAGCCGCCAGATCGCATCCTTGCCATAGGTCACGGAAGCCAGATACTGCGGTGACTAGGTAATCCTTAGATTCCTGGTTTTCGCAGCACATGACTTTCGCGCCTCTGTAAAGGGTGGCGCTGCCAAACTGCATCCTTCGTGGGTCACCCTCTCCCGTAAAGACAAGCTCCCTCAGTCGATCTTCGAATAGCAGCCATCGACTATCGCTGATTTTACCTTCCGGTTCAGCCCTGTCGATGATTGCTACTCGTAGATTGTCCGGGTAGATCGTCTGGGAGTACTTCCTCTTTCGTCCTGCTTGGCCTGCCGTTTGTGACTTGACCTCTCCTTTGTGGGCCTTATCAGGCTTGGAGCTTGAAGGGCCTGTTGGGGGTGGTTTGGTCACAAGCGACTTGCTGACAGACGAAGTGGAAGTTGTAGGTAAAGGCCGAGAAGCCGGGGCCTTAGATACCTTCTTGGCCTCAGGGTGTGGTTCCTCCGTAGACCGGCCCCTCTTCAACGCCGAGCGCGAAGGGGTGTCGGCCTCCGTTGGAACTGTCGAGGCTGCAGCTATCACAGGTTCCGGCTTCTTGACCTTCCTGTCCCTGCATTTTGGGGTAGATGACCCAGCAGGTCCAGCATTAGGTGTCACCGCGTGGACAACAGCCGGAGTGGCCTTGCTGTCGGTGGTGGACTTGCTGACCTCTGCAGGGTTCTCAACAGTGGGTTGAACTATGGAAGAGTTTGCCCTACTGTTGATATTAGGTGGTGGGAGAGTTAGGAGTATCTGATTAAGAGAACAACTTGGTAAGTGCGGGTGGTTCTTCTCAAACTTAGCAATTACCTTGAGGTTCATCTTGATCAGAATCCTCTCTCTCTCCGTTATGTGCGCGGGGTCTCGGCCAATAAATTTTTTGCAATAATTTATTGACCTTTTATAACCCCGCCTTGCTTTCGCCTCCTTCGGTTCGACACCATCGTGAGAGGTAGGGTTACTGGTAGATTTCCTGCCAGTACCTACAAGGATGGTATCTTGCCGATCGAGGCTTTTAGCATCGGAGGTTACCGACGATGAACCCTCCTGGATTTGGGACTCCACGCAAGTCTCGTTAGGAGTGTTCTTAGCGGTCTTTTGTGATGACTCACCACTTTGAGACGAGGAAATGACCGTTATGTCAAGTTCCTCATCAGAGAGTGGTGAGTCGTTACTAAAGCCCGAAGGAACACTTTCCTGGCTGAGTCTTAACGTTTTTGTCTTTTCCAGGAGGGCAGACAACTGTTCATTTTGTTGCTGAATACTGTCGTGGATTACGTCAATGTAATTCAGTATTGAGTCGTCCCCTCCCGATTTGGTATTCATGTCCTGTGGCCGGTCCTTGGTCGTTGCTTCCTTGGAAGCAATGGTGTCGTTGGTGGTTGTTGGGGGTTTGTTTTGTTTGTTTATTGTTTTATCTTTCTCCATATAAAAAGTCGGACTTGGAGGAAACGAGGTCCACCATGGCATAGCCTCCCTACCATGGCAAGGACTTGGCAACTAAGCCTGTTACTCACTGAGGCGCCCAGGTATCAGTGAGGCAACCGTACGAATACAGTCGGAACCCTGACTGCAAACCTAGGAACACTGATGGGCACGGTTTACATAACACCCCAGCGTTAGGGGGTCTTATTTATCGGTAGACCAACACCGATCACTGGGTATTTTGAGGCGCCAGTTGTTCGCCTCGTCGTAACCAGGGATCATGGGCACTCGGATATTTGTTCCGAGACTCTCCCCCCGGAGACCGCTGAGTTGTCCGCGACTGCTTATTTATTCGCAGCTGCCCAATATATCTATTGGGCGTCCCACTATCCGCAACCTGTGGACGCGTCCGGTAGCATCCAGCTATGCTTCCGATGATCGGCTTCCGATGATCGGCCGGATCTCACCCTGTATATGCAGTTTGGTTTCAATTTGAAAGGGATGTTGCTCTCTCCACGATTTTCTAGCGATTGCTTGAAGTGTTAAAAAATTTGAGATTTGATTAAAATTAAATATTTTAAGAACTATACACATCTTCATATAAAATTTTTAAAATTAAAATAATTTCTGAACTTTATTGTTTTGTTTACATTTTTTGACTTCTAACTGCGATATTCTTCATTCGTGGAGACGACAAAGCCGACGGCGGCGTTCTCCAAAATTAAAATAGAGACGTCAGTGCGCCGCCGACATAAACAAAATAAACTCGCTTCCACCTCATACAAAAACGATTGTCGAATATCGGGTAATCGACTACTTTCACATTTTCTCCATCACCAATTGTGCATAGTTAAGATAGATTTATTTTGGATGTAAGATCACGAAAATAAAAGAAAAGAAAAAGTATTTTAAAAGTAGAACTTTTCAACAATCCAAGCAGTGAAATTTGATCCAAAATCCGCAAAGTTTTTTCCATTTCTTGTGTATTATGTGGTGAAGGTAAGTGTTTCTGGAATGTGACTGCAGTGGCTTTCGTTGGTTGACACATATATTTTTAGAATAGAATAGTGAGTGAGTGAGGGATACAACGAGAGACACACACAATGATGGACATCAACAAAAGAATGCAGGGACTGGACGAGTCAAGTGTAAGACAAACGTCGGAAATGTCGAATTTTCCGGAATCACAATTTTCCGACACGTCCAGCAACGTTCAACAATCAACTGCCAGCAACAATAACAACAGCCCCTGCGAGGAAGAATCTACTGTAAACTTTCCAAAAACAGAAAACAGCCCCATGGTGCCAGCGTCTGATGGAGATATAGATAATATAGGTAACTCCAATGGTTCTGGCCACAACATCACATCGCCAAATTCCAAAAACACGAATAAAACTAATCCCAATGCCACGCTGACCAAGTCGGGTAGCGACGAGAAGGAAATCAAGGAGGAAACCACATTGTCGCCACCGCACACTTCTCCACTTGCTAAAAACGATGACAACGACGAGAGTCAAGAACGTGCGAAAAGTGCTGGAGCAGCAATGACTGGAAGCGTAAATCCCAACGTAGAGGGAGTCAGCACAAATGTGAGCCCCAAATCCAACCCGGATATGTTTAATAACTCCACAAATATGCAGAATTTACCCAGAGGTTTGAATCCTTATAACAACGGAAACAACAAGTTTAATTACCCAAACCAAGTTGTTGGCATAGGAGGAGTGGGAGTAGGAGGAGGAGGCGGCGGCGGCGAAAATCAAGGACCAATGAATCCTGCAAGCAATGGAGGAATCGGAGGAGGCAGTGGCGATTACCTGCAACAACACAATCACGTGTTTGTATTTTCCACGCAACTTGCAAATAAAGGTGCCGAGGCAGTTGTCGGCGGACAATTTCCCACAATTATAGCCTACCATTGTATGCAGCCATCGACGAAGTTATTTCTGGAAGACTTTTTAAAAAATCCAGCCAAAGCTTCAAAAATGCAAAAACAGAATCCACCAAACCTAATGAATCTCATGCAATCGGAAATGATGGGAAACCGACCAGGCGCCCAACCCTTTTGGTTAAATGATGGCGGTAACAATGTTGGCAAGATGCCACATAGGCCCCGTTCCCTGCGAAATGCCGGTGTCGTTAACAAAAATAGCCCTAGTTGGGAACAGGCCGCTAGTTTGGATAGTAAAATCGGACCACCATCGAATCCTTTGGATGTATTGGCCAATACTGAAGGCTTTGATAGTGCCCAAATGTGCGGTGGAGGTATTAAGGACGTCGATAAATCCAATATACCTTCACTGCAGGGTGTGAAGGTTCCAGATGAGAACCTAACACCACAGCAACGGCAGCACCGTGAGGAACAGCTGGCAAAGATAAAGAAAATCAATGAGTTTTTATTTCCCGAAAGTGATGGCAATGATTTCCAACCACCACCCATGATGAATAGCAGTGGCGGTGCCGGGGTAGGGGTACCTTCGGACGGAGCGTCTTGTACAAATAATGCAACTAATCCAATAGACAGCATGAACAATGCTTTAAATACAGGAAAAATTGCCCCGGCGGTATCCGGCACAAACATAGGTGACGATGTGCCACCAACTGGAGCTACCGGCGGAGATTCTATGCCCTTGGTACCAGGGCAAAACTCAAAACAAGGATGTACTTCAAAAATAAATGCAAATTTAAATTCATTGAAGCCCAACCCCAGTGCTCCTGATTCGAATCCAGACATGAACCCTTCCTTCAACATGAACAGCTGTCCGTCGCTAGAAGGCGATGCTGGGGGCCACAGTGGTGTCCCACCAGGGATGAACATGCCCAATGAGGAGTGGTCAAAGTTTCAGAACAATATTTTCCCCGACGGCTTCAAATTCAGAGAAAACTCCAATTCCATGAACAATCCTAGTGGTTTGCCTGGCAATCAATTACCCAACCAAACTCCGTCATTGCCCCGTCCGCTGTCTACAGGTGTTGGAGGATACGGTATGCAATCCCGCCCCAATGCCGGTCCCAGTCCTACAAACCGCAACAACAACGGGCCTCCGCCGCCATACCATCAAACACAGCGCTCAGCATCAGTGCCAATATCGACACAGTCTCCTACACAGCCCAACATCAACAACGCCACTGCAGATATAGGGTTGACATCACCTCATGGAGGACGTGTTCCCTTTGGAATGTCTTCAACGCCGCCACACATGGACTCGTCTAACACTTCCACTAGCGTAACTAATCCATCACATTCATCAGCTACATCCTTTCCCGGCCTTAACAGCGGCAATGTCAAGAATATCTATTCATCCAATATGAATTCATCACAGAACTTCGGCGGGCCACAAAATCCTGCAGGCCTCAATAATATGTCAAACTCCCCCGGTTCCCTGTCACTGCCCCATTTATCCCACGCAGAAATGGATCCCATGAATGCTGGCAACAAACTGAAACGAGGAAGTCCTCAGAAAAGCAAGAGCCCCCTCATCAATGATATGCAAGGCAACATTGGCATGGATTCCAAATATGGAAACTTCGGGCTCAATTATAACATGTGTGGAGGAGGACCCGGGGGCAATATGCCGCACGTTGGTCCCCAGAACATGCGTCAGAACATGGGACAGATGCCACCACAGTTTTGTCGTCGCATCGACAATATACCACTTAATCCGAACTGCAATCGGTTGAACCAGAATAAGCCGGTGGGTAATTTCGATCCCATTGCGTCATTAGCTCAGATGTCACAGCAGTTGACAGGCAGTGCCATGGGATTGGGCTCGCTAGGTGGTGGCGGTGGCGGCGGCGGAGGAGGCGGCAACAGTTCTTCGACTGGTCTTATGGATGTCAACAGCGGAGATATGATGGGAGGACCCCCTGGTCGCAGTGACCATCCCTTGGACCACTGCAATCAAATGCCTAACAACAACATGGGAATGCCAGGAATGGGCGGAGGTGGTCCAGGACGTCCTGGTCCCTATGGGTCCGACCCAATGAACAGCATGGATGCAATGGATCAGCGCATGTTAAATGGGAAAATGTGTCTGCCGGGGCACTTTAATCACAATCCCCTGACCGGTGTTGGGTTGAGAGACTCCAACATGGGTGGCAACGATATGATGTCTGCAAATCGCGCCATGAATCGTCGAATGCCAAATAATTTCGATAACTTTAACATGTCGTCGAACGTGCATGTCCGTGCAAGCGCTCCCAATACCATCCAGTATATGCCTGCCAGATCTCAAAATATGAACAATATGCGAATGCCACCCAGCATGGAGTTCTTTCAACGTTATGGTAATCCTCACGGCAACCAGATGGGTGGTGGTGTGGGCAATGCACCCGGTGGAATGCCCAACAACGATATGCAGAATCCCAATATGATGAATTTATTTGGAAATTGTGGTCAGATGCCACCTAATGGACGGGGAGGGGGTCCCGGAATGGGTGGACCCGGGCCAGTTGGTTTTGAGCCGAATGATCTGGGAGTTGAAGGCAATCTAATGCACAACGATGCACCCTACATGAATGTACCATGAATCTCGCCGAGTACATCATGCCCCATCGTCATCGTCGTGGTCGTCGTCTTCGTCGTCACCAACGTCATCAACATCAAATTTGTGTCCCTGTTTTTGTGTCGTTCCATGTACTCATTCAGTACAATACGAAATTCTGTAGCAAAATTGATGTAGTGCCATTCTAAGCGCCACCCTCTTGTCTTTAACACGTTACGCTCGTTTGTGCTGCTAATCATCGATGAGTAAATGAAATTTGTTCGTGTATATTATTACAAAAAAGAAAAACAAAAAAGAAAAAAAGAAGAGAAAATATGAAAAATAGACATAATTAGTTTAAGAAATCTGATTTTCTTTAATACATGTTGAAAATACATACAAATACCGTTGGGCTAATCCAAACCGAATTTCGTTTTGTAAATTGTGGACGGACACAGCACAGCATACGCTAGCCATGGCTAGTGGAAATGTCCTTGTTTTCGTACCTTCTGAAATGCTGTATAAGAAAATTGATCGGAAACATTGAGTTGTGAGCGTAGCTCAGATCAAATTGTTTCTAAAAAAATGATATAAGAAATACTCTTCTCCGTTTTTTCCGAAACCCAGCAGACAAACCATATATTCAATGGTGCAAGCTTATTCTTTTTTTTTTTTTTTTGTTCTTCAGACTCTTTTGGCTTGCACATGATCGTAACAAAAGCAAAAAGAAGAACTAAATATTTGTATTATTTTCCCAATACAATTTGTATCTTAATTTTAGTTTATTCCTATAGTAAGGTATTATTTAATGGTATTTGATTCGAAGCATAATTTTAAAACCGGTCATTTTTTTGGCGGTAAGAAGCAGCAGCTGGAGATTTTTACATTTTTTTCTATTATTATTATAATTATTAGTACTATAGACAACACATCTGATTTCCGCTTTTAATTTAATTGTAAATTGTATTGTTGTATGCATGTAGTTTACATATTACCATCTATCCCCCCGCCCCCTCCTCCCCCTTTATGTATATATTAATATTATACCTATCTATAAGCAATATTGTATATTGTAATATTCACAAAGATTTGTTCTTTCTTTTAATTTCTCTTAGTTTCTTGTTTAACTTTAATCTACCTTTTTAAGTGTATGACCTAATTATGACCCACTTTGGAAATGCATTAGCCAGTAAGATATTTCACTTTGCATCACTAATAAAGGATTGGTAATGAAATAAATACATATGTATGTACATAGGGGGTATGGGTGGGGTGGTGTGTTCCCATTTATAAGTGGTACTTGTAAAATGATTGATTTCGAGTCGTGTCGTATGGACCAAGGCCTACATAAGGTCGGCCAGTAAGCCCATCTGACAACTAACCAAGTTTGCTGTCAAAAAACCGGTTTGAAATTCAAAGAGAGTCAGATCACTCAAAATATCTCTTTCGAGACGCTCTCTTTTAAAGAATTTTTGTGTTAACTTCCAGTAACAATTTGCTACAATTGTTACAAATGTAAAGGTAACCAGACACACCTACAAGATCTCTGAATAAGATAGGTATGTCAAATTTGGAACATATTTCAGTTTTTTTTTTTTTTTTTTGGAAATTTTCTGTCAACTTTAAATCCAGAAAACTTTTTTTTGTTTGAAAATTGCTGACAACCCTACCTATACAATGTACCTTGGTCAATGCTACAATAAACCTGCATTCAAATAATAATATCAAACCCTTCATATTTTCTAATTTGTCTGGTCCAATTTTAGCTGTTTTCAATGGGTTCCCATCTCTGATATGTGTATAAATATATGTTATTTATCATTGATTTTTAAAATATATAGTTTTTTTTTAAACTTATATATAGTTCTACTTATTTTTGAAGAAACGTTTAAAATTGTTTGAAATTTCATTATTCCTAAGCTTTGATGCTTCTACCTTTGGTAGTAAGCATGGTACAATAAGGAGATAAAACAGCTTCGTAAAACTACAGAAATACAGCCCTGCGGCTATGCCCGCTTTCTGTCAGAATTATTCAAAATTATGGGCAACAAGTTATTTTCATTTATTAGATATTTTTGTTAATTTTTAAAATGAGCCAAATAACGCGAAAGATGAATCAAATGCCTGGGTTCAGTCTTTAAATTCCATGGCAAATCTTGGTAATATTAAAAATGCGCGCCCCGCAATTTAAGTTTCTTCCAATCACTGATTTTGAAAATATTTTGTTTTTACTCTCCAAAACAAAAAATAAATACACAAAATTGGCAGAAGTCGTGCACGCTTAGAAAAAAATTGTAATCAGCTGGTACCTCTACCCTACCTTTTTGTTGTACCATGGTAGTAAGTTGGGCCTTTATAAACATGGTACAATGAAGAGAAGGTAGGCTAACTTTAAAAAAATTGCATGTATAGAGGTCTACCTATTTGGCTTGCAATGGCAGAATTACTATCAAAACAATCAAAAAAACTTGATGCATTGATTTTGAATAAATAATTGAAAACCGCGAAAGGTCAAAAATTCTTTTCAAAATCATGTCCTATATATCTTTAGAAGTTTATTTTGCTACAAGAACTGTAGATTTTGTCGATGCATACGTGGCAACAAGCATTTTGAAAACACCCGAATTTGAATATTTTTTTTAACTTTTTTTATTATTTAAAGAAATACACACACATAAACAAATAAAGTTGATATATTAAGCCAAGAAAATAAAAAAAATTAGAATCATTATCAATGATCACGGGTGCCATGGGTATAAATTAAGCTATTTAGCCCTGTATCTTTGGAAAAATAAAAAAATGTAAAAATATATTTAAGAGACTTCTGATATGCTTGCGTTCTACCAAATGGAAAAAATTTGGAACAGAGCTACTGTCCGGTTGGTTTATTTTTTAGTTGTCTTTTTGATTCCTTCTGCCCACCGTATTCATAAACTGAACCATATGGAATTGGAACGAAATGAGATAGAGGAATTGGTTCACACGGCTCCTAGCTTGTTCACTTCAATTGTTTTACGTCAATTATTCGACAATCTTTTTGTCTTTTCCATAATATTTTGTATTTTGATCCGCTCTGTTACTCTTTTAGTAAAAACGAAAGAAGAATCAATTACTATGTGTACTCTGGTTCCTTCGTTCATTTTGTGAACGTTGCAGCTGTTTTTACGAGAAAATCGAACAACGAATTTTTCGATTTTCAGATCCCTAATTTATATATTTTGTTTTGGATCTCGATTCCTTTACCCTACGGTTTAAATGGGGTGTTTGCTAAACTTGTCATTCCGTTTGCAACACATCGAAATATTCTTCTGAGACTCCTTAACCTATATATGTATATCAATGATCTATGTTGAGTCATGTGAAAAGGGAAAAAACCTCAAAATATATCCAAGAGTTTGTACTAAACTAGAGTTGGTTATACCTACCTCTGGAAAAAAACTCTTATAAATCCCATAGTTTTTACTAAACTAGAGTTGTTCCCAATTTGTCCATATAAGTATAGCCCCATGTAAGTAAACACCCATTTGACCATAAGTCAAATTTTCAATGGTGGAGGGTGTAAAAAGTTCACCCAGCCCATCTCACCGTCATTTCATTTCTACTTGTTATCTTTATTTCCTTCCATTTGCTTTGGTTTCTTAGCCAAGATTCTCAGTACGTACGACAATGTATAAAATATAATAAAAAAATGAATTGCTGTAAAAGTTGGATATTTAACAAAAATATGGAATAAGTGAGAGGCATGGTTCTGATTAGTCAGTAAATAAAGTAAATACTAAACAAAATAACAAATTAGTTACAAAAATAGACGTCAAAAAGTTGATTTCATTTCGGGAAATTTGGTGTAATTTTTCCGGTAAATTCAATAAAAAAAATTATTTACACATTCATCGACCAATTATGGCCAGAAGTAAAAACGAAGGTTCCCTCACGCTGTGTCACATATCAACCTAAGCATGATTGATTGGACTCCAATACGATGTGCATCAGTTGTGCAATCTATAGTCTTGACAATGAAGCCTTCAGACAAAGATATGGAAAATAAGAATACCCATAAAACCCATGCATTTTTTAGCTAAACTGGAAGAGTTCTAATGAAAAGCGGTAGATAGGTATGTAAAGCATCCTCCAATTCCATATGGATTTATGCTAATCGCGCTGCTTTCTTTTCCAGAAGCCTCTTCTTGGAATTCGTCGTTATGTCTTCTTTCTTTCTGGCAACAATACCAAGGATACTCATAAATAAGGAGGAACGGAATGCAACATACAATTAAGACATCCAACAGTCCTTGCGAAGAAGAACATTTATATGGCATCCAAAGGACTGATGGAAGTGAATGCTCGGCAACCGGAGATACAGGAGGAGGTGGTGGAGACATTGACAATACAGCCGGCGATAGCAGCTCGCCAAACACAAAACAGTCGTTATGTAAACAGGGTGCTTTGAACAAAATAAAACCCAACAATGTACACTCAGTGGCCTCGACAAAAGTCCTTACAGAGGGACATGATATCAAAAAGGAGGAACCATCTTCACCCGTGTCACAACTAGGATTTGTGACAAACTCTGGCATATCCCACTGTGAAAATGACGATCGTGGCACTAACATACCGCTTAACGCCTCACCCTCCACGTTTCCCAGAAGTATTAGCTGCAATGATCTGGAAGAGAATTCCACAAGTGCTAGTGTTAATATACCAGGCAGTTCCATTGATGGTTGTGGTCTCTTGAATACGAACATAAGACCAAAGTCTGAAGATGAATGCGTTGCATACATTTCGAATTTGTCGAAAAATTTGAACACACCCATAGGAAACAATAACCCAACCCAACAACGGCAGGCGGAAAAGCAAGGTCTGCTTAATGCAACTAGCCATAATAGTGAGTTCTTGCAACCCCAAAATCATGTATTCGTTTTTTCCACCCAACTTGCCAATAAAAGTGCAGAAGCAGTACTAAGTGGTCAGTTTCCAACAATCATAGCTTATCACTACATGCAGCCATCCACGAAATTATTTCTAGAAGACTTTTTAAAAAATCCCTCCAGGGCATCCAAATTACAACGTCAGTACTCACTGAATATAATGAATGCCATGAATTCAGCTGGCGGAGGTGGAAATGGCCCATGTTCGGGTTCCCAGCCTTATTGGCTGAATGAATGCAACAATTCTGGCACACCGTCAAACCGACTTGGGTTGGATAGTGCCGCTGGACCAGACAAAACCAAACCCTTGTGGGACGAGACAATGAATCCATTTGACTTGTTGGGAGCCAATGAATATTTCGAAAATGCCAAAGCAGCCGCCATTATTGGTGGTATGCGAATGGAAGACAGGACAAGTATGATACCATCTCTGCAAGGGATAAAAGTGCCGGATGAAAATCTCACTCCACAACAGCGGCAGCACCGCGAGGAGCAATTGGCCAAATTGAAGAAAATGAATAAATTTCTATTTCCTGAAAATGATTCGCAAACCTTAACAACACAATTGACCGCTGCAGGACCCTCTGGAAATTCTGCTGATGGGTTGCATAACCCTTCAGGAAATTGTCCAGATGCTTCTAATAAAATGTTTCAGCAATCTTTGCGCCATTTGCGTGGCAATGTGGGAAGTGAGCCAAGCATTCCTTCCGGTGGCCTACAATCCAGTAGTAAACAATCGAATCTACCAAAAACGAATCTGAAAGACAGGACTTCATGTGATGCAGGCAACGAACAAAGCAATCGTTCGGCTAACATGGCTGCCTCCTTTGGCATGGCCGATAAGAGCTCTGCTTCCGAAGGAAACATTAAGGAAACTATGTTGGGATCATCCAACCTCAATACGACCCAAGATCAGTGGAATAAATTTCAAAACAACTCATTTCCGGATAACTTGAAGAGCCGGGAAACAAACATTGCCGACAGCCAGGCGGGTGGCGGACCTACGCTGTCACGGTCCATGTCGATGGGATCAAGTGCTGGTGTTTATAGCGTGCCGCCGTCTCGTTCAAACACTACAACAAATAACGACTGCAACAAAGGCCCTCTCCCACCGTCTACATACCAGCAAACACAGCGATCGGCTTCAGTACGAATAGCTACACCATCTCCAACGAACGTTAACAGTTCTAGCCAAGATATGTCACTGACATCGCCACAAAGAACAAACCCGGATGTGGTGGCAAACACATCTGGCAACACAACTCAATCCACCCAGTCGAATGCAACAACATCAAGTGGAATCCCAGGTCCCAGTAACAATGGCGGCTCCAGTCTCCACACTCTACCACCACCAATGACTTCCGAAGAAATGGATAGCCTAAAATCAAAAGAAATTAGTCCCCAGCAGAAATTTAAAGGACACAACGGAAATGATATCCCTCCCAACAACAGTTGCATGGATGTGAAATACAACAATTTCCATTTGAATTATCCTGCAGGCGGTAATGTTATGGCTCCCACTGTTCCACAAAATATGCAGCGTCACAGTATGCAGCAGATGGCTCCTCAGTTGTGTCGTCGCATCGACAACATGCCATTAAATCCAAACTGTAATCGCTTGAATCAAAATAAAAGTGGAGGCCATTTTGATCCAATATCTTCCCTTGCCCAAATGTCTCAGCAATTGACTGGCTGTGGCATGGGTTTAAATTCAATGGGACCTGGAGGTGCTGCAGGAGGAGGCCTTTTGGAGGGTGATGACCTTTTGCTGGCACATTCTGGCCATGTTAATGATCGCACATTAGGCCACTGTAACCAGTTTTCAAATGCTAATCATTTGAGCATGATGGGAATGGGCATGAGTGGCGGTGGAGCAAATAGACCTGGCCAATTCCATGGCGACATGAACAGCATGTTATGTGGCGAACGGATGGATGGGCGCATGTTAAACGGCAAAATGTATGTACCTAATATGGCGGGACACTTCAATCCAAATTCTATGAATGGTAATCTTGACGACCACCATGATTTGTTATCGCCGAATCGCCAGTCATTTGGTCGTCGCCTTTCCACGACATCTTCCAATGTCCAGATCAAAGCGAATGCCCCAAATACGATACAATACATGCCGGTGGTCAGGTCTCAAAACATCAACAATATGAGGATGGCGCCGAATAATGATTTCTTTCAAAGCTACTCAAATCAACAAATAATGGGAAATGTGGGTGCGAATATGATGAATATGTTCGCCAGCTCTAATCAAATGCAACAACTAGCTATTGGCATGGGTGGCGACGTTAATAGAGGTTTTGAGCCACACGATTTGGAGTTAGAGGGAAATCTTCACCAGCCCACTGACGATTACATGAATGTGCACTGAAAACTGAGAAGTCGAACCTAATGTCAGTATTCTTTTTTTCTCAGATTACCATTGACGATTTTCCGAATTACATGGTCATTCCCATGGTCAAAAATGCAAGTCAACTGTTTTATTCTACAAAGCAGAATGCAAAACTTAAAGTGATTCCGACAAACGTTTGTTAGATGGAAACTAAGATACTACCCTAAAAGGAGGGCCGACCTATCTGACAGATAATGCGAATGCAGGAAGTTTGTGAGAAAAAAAATGTTTGATACATTTTTCTTCTTCGTATGAGCGTGAGCAGCCCCGAAACTTCATCACTTAGGGGTATTGTCTTGTTGATCCTGCATTAAAGCAAAATATAAAAAAAAAAAATATAAACATAAATTATTCATACACAAGTCTAGATATTACACTTGGATAGGGAAATTTATCAGAAAAAAAAATATAATTCACATAAAAAACTTTTCACCCTTACATACATATTATGTATATGCATATTACATACCAACAATTCATTTTAAATGAAAGTAGTATTACTATTACAAAATGTAATAAAATTAAGTTTTTTTAATAAAAGAAAAATAGCTACTTGTGTCTTTTTTAATAATAAGCCGAAAATAGGGAATTTTCCCAATAAAGGATGAGAAGGAATTTTGTAAAAAGAGATAAAACGAATCCTTCCTTGTACCAACGAAAAAGTACCGATAATTCTCTAAACCAGATCTGAATTTTCCTAGTTTCATATGAATCAGGACGTAGTCCTGTAGTGGAACTCGGCCAAGTTAAAATACTTATACTTAGTAACGAAATTAATGTAGTCGCTAAGACCGATAGATACTAATGTTGTAAACTTTAACTTCTTTTTTATATCAAATCAAAAATTTCCCACTACGATTTACAGCAATTTTTGATTTTTATCAAGGCTTTTCTGTCAGTACGAGCATTTGTTTCATTTCCATTCTCCTTGCCTTTCTCTCTCTCTTTGTCTCATGAAAAAATAGTAGAGATTTGCCGCAAGTAAACTTGCCTATTGTAATTCGAGTGCATTTCTTCTCCTTAAAAGGACGAGACACAAAAAGGTTGGTAGCCGCATCGACACATATGACGGTACATTAGACTGTTAACAAAGTTTTTAACTAAAATTTGAATAATTTTTGAAGGAATCCGTTAGGAACTACGTAAATTGTGTAGAAAGGAAATGAAACATTACGGCCCATGTCAGTTGAACATTGGGATTGGTTTCTGTAGTTCCTTTTAGAGAATAGTATTTTTGAACCATTTACTAATTCATTGAAATTCTCTTGTTTTGTGTCCAGAAAGAAATAACCACCAAATAAATAAAATGGATTCTAGTTCCTCTGAATTTGACAAAAAATATAATATTGTGGATGCAGTTACGCCGAAACATATTCCGCTATCAGGACGCTATAAAAAGTTAGAATCATAAGACAGGTGATACCTGGACTTTGTTGCCTATAAATAACGCCACTCGATGTAGTCCAAAGATCATTATCAATTATAAATTCATAGGGAGATTTGCTGCTAGATAAAGAGGAAACTCTTTTTCTTCTTCTGACTATTTCACTATTTATTTTTATTCAATATTATTCCAATCCAATTTTAATGCTGGATTCTAATTCTAATGTAGGAGCTTTGCCTATCACACGCTGAAAGAACGTCTGCCGGTTATATTAACCCAAATAATAGATAGTTTAACAAAAGAAAAAGACGAAATTTCAGAAAAGTATCAAGGAGAGGTACAATTGCTATCCACTTAAGAATCGGAATACCCGCACACTGTAGACGAAACTCATTGGACATTCTTCTCTTGCAGGAAACGCGTGAGGAGATCAAGAACATTGTGGGCCAAATTTCCAAATTGAAATATCAACTCCAAACCGATAAACCGTTTGAACATTTTCAAGGCATCGAACCGGACCAAGAACTGTGGAACAGTTTCATAGATGCTTTGCCAGAAAATGGCCGCTCCTTTTACCAAACGGCATGGCTTTATGGCGAGTGTTATATGTATAGGAAGGTGTTTTCGTTTTTTGAAAACTCCCAGACTTTGAAGACTTATGACTACTTTTTCAAGCAAAAAGCCAAGGCACTGGCCATGGATGAGGTTGCGGCCATAGCCAAGCGTTTACGAAGTACAGACAAGAGCTATGAAACGTTTTCTCGATTGTTGAAGGTAACTGAGTTAAATGTTTGAATGGAATTCAATTTAATTTTGAGTTTCTTCTTCTTCTATTTCTAGTTAAATTTATGGGGCAACAAATGTGATCTTTCAATAATAATACCCACAAATTTCGATCCCAATCAAAATGTTTACGACAACTGCACAAAATTCGATGACCACATATTGGTGGATAACAGCAAAAGCATATGGGAGTGTCTGGTTTCTGCGGACCAAACGAAACCTGTTATAGTAGACTTTGTTTTAGATAATGCTGGATTTGAGTTCTATACCGATTTAATACTGGCCGAATTCTTGCTGGAAAAGAATTTGGCCACAAAGGTGCGTTTTCATGTGAAACCAATGCCTTGGTTTGTTTCAGATGTTACCCCAGCCGACTTTCAATACACATTTGAGTATCTAAGCAATCATGATTTGAGTTATTTGAAGGAACAAGGGCAACGTTGGAAGCAATATGTGACGGAAGGCAAATTTCAATTGGCCAATTTGAGTTATTTCTGGTGCAGTCCAATCGAATATTATAAGTGAGTGTGTGGGGGGGGGGATTTTGTTATAAAAAGAGTGGAGTTGTACAAATAAATTTTATTTCTTTTAGGATGCGTGAAGTGGACTTGCAGTTGTTCCAATATTTAAGTGAGGCCCATTTAATTATTTTCAAGGGCGATTTAAATTATCGTAAACTCGTGGGCGATATGAACTGGGATCCCACAGATGATTTTCTAACATGTCTAAGAGGATTCCAACCCACAAATTTGTGTACCCTGCGCACAGTAAAGGCCGATGTGATATGTGGACTTAAACAAGGCAAAGCCGAAGAATTGTCCCGTTTGAATCCCAAGTGGATGGAGACTGGTGAATATGGACTTATCAAATACATGGAAACATCTCAGTGTAGCTGTAGTCATGATGGCAAATAATTCTTGTTTTGCTGAAAATTGTAAAAACTTTTGAAAATTACTCTAATCAATTTGCTTTTGGTTTGAAAATAAAGACATCTTGGAGAAATTAGAAACAGGGTTAATTTTTGAGACGAATAAAAGGTAAGGACTTGGTATTTTTAGAAAATAGTCGAGGATCGAATCATAATTTGAAAGTGAATTTAATGTTAAGAATATAATCGTTTTATGTCTGTTTTACCAAACCAGATGAGACAATCGCAAATAAAAGAGACTGACCTACAAAATATTCAAATTTGTAGTACATATAAGGAAAATGTTTAAAGTAAATAAATTTATGATCCAATTTGTTTATATTGTTGATGATCTGTAAGTTAGTGTATATATGTATGTGTGAAAAAGAAAAGCGCACAACGTACACGATGAGTTTGGGGGAAAATCAATAATGTGCAGTATATGTAGGTAGGTAGGTATATATTTTGCATTTAGTCTTCTCATACACTTGTTATTTTTCTTAGCGATTGCATGTCTCAGCCCAGCGCAGTATTACGTAAAAAAATAAAAAACTTTTTCTGTTTTATATATTCTGCCAAAGGAAGAGGAGAGATTTTTTGAAATAAGATAAGTAAGGATAGATTGAAATAACATGGTAAGAGAATATGCACTTAAATTATGTTTATGTGTGCTTATGATTCTTTGGTTTTCCACATAGTCGCTGCCATCGGAAAACAAAACAAATGTAAACGAGTCATTGCCGCAGCCAAACGGTTTAGATGCATTTGATATAGAACATGGCATTTCTGACATTGAAACACCCCCGGAGGTTCCATTAAGTGGACAATTCAAAAAGTGTTTTGCATATTTTACAATACGTTATCGTTTGCCCAACATTTTAGTTTCCCTTTTGAATTCCATAAGGGAAGATTTAAAAGTGAACCCATCCAACTATGAAGAGGTAATTGTTGCCATTTTGGTTTGTGTGTGTGCGTGTGTGTATTTAAAATTAATATACATTTTATTGTTGTTTATCTAGGCTGATATATCCTTTGTGTTGGAATCCATTGAAAAACTGAAAACCCAAGTGGAAAACAATGGAAGATTGGAGAAGATTGCATCCAAAGGTAAAGTTCATGGACAAATTGTGTTGTTTTATATTATCTTTTTTTTTTGCCAAATAACATTGCTGAGACGGATTATATGAAACAAGTAAAAGATTATCAGTCGGTTTTGCACAGATGTATACCCCCAGCCTTGAGTTATGATTATTTAAACTGTTGACCCTTTATGGGGGAGGTTCCGTACCAGTTGGCCAATATTGACCAATTCGTATCTGACCTAAGACAGATAAAAATATTACAACATTCCAGATTTGGACTATATCGACTACGTCCTATATTTTATATGAGATATGTGTGAGGTATGGCGGACCGTAGTATTTCATTCAAAATACAGATCAAAATACTGGTATGTGCAAAATTTGAAGGAAATCAAATATAAGTATTGCAACTTGTGAGCCTTTGTGGGTGAGGTACCAGAAGGAGTGGACCGATATATACCATCTTCAGAGCAGATCTTGTGTTAGTAGAAATAATCGGATGTGTGAAATATGAAGAGAACCGGATATTTATTTCGGATTTAATGATTGTTTTGGTTATTCAAAACGTTGACCCTTTGTAGGGGAGGTACCAGAAGAAATGGTCCGATCTCTACCACATTTATAACAGATCTTGTGTTGGTGGAAATATTTAGATGTACCAAGTCTGTATGAAATCGGATGTTGATTTCGCGATTTATAAGCTTCATGGGTACTCAAAATTTTGACCCTTTGTGGGAGAGGTACCAGAAGGAATAGACCGATATATCCCATTTTTACACCAGACCTTGAGTTAATACAAATATTGTGATTTGTGTAATTTGAAGAGAACCCGATGCTTATTTCGTATTTTATTTATGATTGTTATGGTTATTCAAAACATTGAACCTTTGTGGGGCAGGTACCAGAAGGAATGGTCGGATCTGTACCATCTTTATAACAGATCTTGTGTTAATGGAAATATTGAGATGTGCCAAGTCTAAATGGAATCGGATGTTAACTTCGTGTTTTATAAGCTTCATGAATATTCAAAATGTTGAACCTTTGTGAGGGAGGTGCCAGAAGGAGTGGACCGATATATTCCATCTTCACACCAGACCTTTGGTTAATAAAAGTATTGTGATGTGTGGAATTTGAAGACAATCGGATTTTTACATCATATTTTATAAGAGTTAAAAATACTGAAAATGTTGACGCTTTATGGGGGAGGTACTTGATGGAGCGGATCGATATTGTCCATTTTCGCCCCTGACCTAGCACTGATGCAAATATTAGGATTCGCAAAGTTGGAGCCAAATCCAATAATCCTTTCTCTTTCTGTGCAATAAATTATTTTCTTTAAAAATGTTGACATTTTGTGGGGGAGGTACCAGAAGGAGTGGACCGATATTGCCCATCTCCGAATTCGATCTAAGTTTGACAATTACATTAAGATGTAGCAAGTTTGGACCAAATCGGATACTCCCTTCGAGAGTTATCGTGCGCAACACCCAGCCAGACAGACGGACATCGGTAGATCGACTACAAATGTCCCCAAACGGATTTGATCCAAAGAGTCCTAGGGTCTAAAACCGTTATTTCGATGAGGCACGTTGATGAGACTTTGACAAATGAATTCTTGAGAACTTATCCCATTTAAAGCAACTCAAAAAAAAGTATGTCTTATTTCATTTAACAGACAGGCCTCCAACAAATTCTTCAAACCGGGATTCAAGGAATTTATACTTTTTATAAATTGATTTCAGCTCCTGATGTCGACATTTGGAATAACTTCATTGCAAATTTACCAGAAAATGCATCCTTTTTCAACATCTGTTGGTTGTATGCTGAATGTTATCTGTACAGGCGGATATATTCTCTGTTCGAGGCTACCAATACTATGGCACAATACGATTACTTTGGACCACAAAAAATGAAAGCCCTACAAATGTCCGATCATGTCATGGAGGAGTTAATACAAACTACCGACAATTGCGAAAATACGTGTGAAACATTTTGCCACATGCTAAAGGTAGTAGTGCTCTGAAAATACATCCAAGTAGAACTAATAACTAACTTGTACTTTCTGTTGAGTACAGCTCAATCTCTGGGGTAATAAATGTGATTTGTCTTTGAGTTCGGGCAAGGATGTCAAACCCCTGGAAAATCTAAGCCAACTCATTGTTAGTCTCAATACAAATATATTGGTCGATGACAGTGCTGCCATTTGGAACTGTCTGAATCAGCAGCCGGCGCAGCAGCAACAGGTTGCCGATACCAAGTATGTTGATCTGATATGTGATAATGCTGGTTTCGAACTATTTACCGACTTACTTTTTGGTCAGTACCTGTTGCAAAATGCATTGGCAAAAGTTGTGCGCTATCATGTCAAGGCAATGCCGTGGTTTGTTTCCGATACCACGGCGCAAGATATACACAAAACTTTGAAATACCTAGATGGCCACAAGTCGCACGTTTTAAGGGATTTCGGTAAACGATGTAGCAAATATTTTGAAGAGGGTGCTTTTCAAATTGCCGAAGAGAGCTACTTTTGGACAACGCCCTACGAATTTTACAGGTAAGAGTAGAATTGAACAAGCTTCGTCTAGCCTAATCGCCGATAATCTTTAACAGAATGAGCGAAATTAATCCCAAATTATACAAGGATTTGTCAACGTCATCACTGTTAGTGTTTAAAGGTAATTTTATAAAAAGAAAAAGATTTGGTAGCAATGTTGTCATGCCAATTTGTTGCCCCCCCCTTTTCAGGTGACCTAAACTATCGCAAATTACTGGGCGATTTCAATTGGAATTTCAGCGATGATTTTCGCAAATGTTTACGTGGTTTCAATCCCACCAGGCTTTGTACTCTACGCACAATTAAAGGTGATCTGTTATGTGGACTTAAACCAGAATCGGTGAAGTGTCCCGACCTGGCCCGCCAATTGAGTTTGGGCAAAAATGATTGGATGTTCACGGGGAATTATGCAGTTATACAGTTATTGTTGTAATGTGTTAATGTTTTTATAATTAAATATATATGTATTTGTTAAAAAAAAAACAATGAACAAATATGCGTTAAAACAATTGAATTAAATTTGAACAAGTAAAAGAGTATCAGTCAGTTTTGCAGACAGAAGTGTACGCCCAGCATTGAGTTATGATTATTCAAACTGTGGACTATTTATGGGGGAGGTTCCGAAGCAGTTGGCCTATATTGACCAATTCGTATCTGACCTAAGACTGATATTCGGCCCAATTACGGTTGTCGTTACTATAGTCGTCTTCACTTTATGTGCGAGTCGCCCTCGCCGTCGCTTCGATTCAAAAATGGTATTATGGTAAGGCATAGAAGCGACATCGACAGTTTAAAATAAAAGTTGGCAACAATTAAAAAAGCGTTGGCAACACTCCCTTGTTATTGACAAAAAAAGATAATTTTGTTTTGTATTTTGAATTCTAATTTCGACTCTTTCGGAAAAATAAAAAATATAGTGAAAAAAATGAAGATTATAAATGCGTTACATATCTTAAGTTCAAGTGAGGATGAAAAGAAGTGTGTATTAGTAGTGCAGCGGCGAGTGTTAAGGCAACCAACAAACATATTTGCATTGACTGGCTCTTGATTGTGTTGTTCCAAAAGTTTATAACGCTATTCCAAGAGTTCAATAGTTTGTACTTTCCTTGATGACTTTTTACCATTGTTTTTTTCTGGGCGATCGAGAAGTTTCAATAGTAGGTTACATCAGTCTCGTCTTCAGCATTGTCCACTTGCTCATTTTCATGAACTATAACGTCTATTACACTTATGTTTTCCTTATTTTCTATTCCAAGTGCACGACCTGGTGGATTCAATAACTTTTGAAAATGCATTACATTCGCGAAAGACTCCTCCAAAGTCATTTGCTTAAAAATGCCACATCCATTGCTGCTGGTTTCACCCTTGTCGTGCACAAGTTTTTTTTAGTTTAAAATTTTAAATCTTTCCAAACCTAGAAGAATTTTAGAAAACTAACTAATAAAAACATACAAAAATAATTTTCATTTTTACATATTTTTTGCCAGCCATCGGGGTCTCTAATCGCAGGCCCGTTTACATTTAATTTTGTAGCAATGAATTCCCAATCTGAATTAAAATTTGCTGGAACATGACCTTTGGTAAATCCTTTTGCCAAACTTGAATTTTTTTCAATTCGGAAATTAAAATTTCAAGTTGTTTTGCTGTTGTTATTTTCGTGATCAAATATAAAATACAAAATGCTTACAATATCAACGTCGACTAAAAAGTACTATGTCGTCACAATTTTTTACGGCGACAGATATTCTAAAAAATCGACTTCACGTCGACTGTTGTATCGACAATGATAATGGCAACCATTTGTCGCTATCGACAAAAAACGACAACCATAATATCATTATTGTCGCCTCGACTTCATTTTGCGACGCCGACGATAACCGTAATAGGGCCGAATATCAACGTCGACTAAAAAATGCTATGTCGTCACAATTTTTTACGGCGACAGATATTCTCAAAAATCGACTTCACGTCGACTATTGTATCGACAATGATAATGGCAACCATTTGTCGATATCGACAAAAAACGACAACCCTAATATCATTATTGTCGCCTCGACTTAATTTTGCGACGCCGACGATAACCGTAATAGGGCCGATTAATTTTAGAACGTTCCAGATTTGGACTATATCGACTACTTCCTATACTTTATATGAGATATGTCCAAAATCATAAATTTCGATAAATAACATATTCATATCAAATTTCTGGTTAAGAGAAAAATGTAGATATACAGCCCGATTCTGAATACTCCCCGGGAGATTATTCCCGGGGAGATTATTTTTCCCGGGAATAAAATCCTCCTATTCTAAACAAACGGGGAGAATGGTAATAAGGGAGAGAGAATTTCGATTATTCGAAGTCAGCTGTTTTGCGTCAGCTGTTTTGTTTGGCTAACAATTTGCAAATATTTTTATGACTTCAAAAGCATAAAGTGATTAAAAATAAAAAAAGAACTATAAAAAAACAATTTAAAAATGTTTAGTGTTGCGTTTGTGATGCTAGCTGATGCAGAAAACGCTGAAGTGCAGCAGCAGGAGAAAAATATGCAAAGGATAGAAAGGAGAAGGTTACGCGATGCCATCAACCCACTTGAGTTGCCTCAATCTTTGTAAGTACATACATGAATAAACTATTATTAAATTTTATTTATTAACAAGAATCTTACTTTTCAAAGATTTGAAAAATATTATAGGGTAAACAAACCGGCATTCAAGTATCTGTTGGGCGTGTTAACTTCCAACATTCAACCTAAACGTAAGTCATTTGCAGTTTCTCCTGTTGTGAAACTAAGTGCGGCTCTACGCTTCTTTGCGGAAGGCGGGTACCAAACAGGCATAGGAAAAGATTGCGACGTGTCTGTGGCCCAGTGTAGTCTTAGCAAAGTTCTCACGGAAGTCATAAATATATTTGAGAAACATCTCTGCCCAAAATGGATAAGGTTCTGCAGAACGGAAGAGGAGAAACGTAAAATTGCTTTAGCGCTTTATATAAAGCATGGCATTCCGAGCGTTATAGGATGCGTTGACGGAACACATGTCCGCATTATTGCTCCCTCCGCCAATAAGCACTTATATTACAACAGGAAGGGCTACTATAGTTTGAATGTTATGCTGGTAAGTAGTTTCGCTGATTGTTTGTGTTCAAGATATTCATCGGAATGATCAATAATTGATTTTTAACAACAACAAAAATTACAGGTGTGTGATCATGAGTTGAGGATTCAGTACGTGGATGCATCGCATCCTGGGGCGTGCCACGATTCATTCATTTGGAATACCAGCGAGTTGCGAGCCCACCTTGAGGAAGTCTATCGAACAGGCGGTAGTAAATATTGGCTCCTTGGTAAGGTTTTGAATGACAACAGAAAGTATTCACAAATTAATATTTTATTTTTTACTAGGAGATGCAGGGTATTCTCTAGAACCGTGGCTTTTGACCCCTCATAGATGTCCACAGGATGAATCAGTTGAAATTAAATTCAATGAAATCCATTCAAAGTGCCGCAATGTAGTTGAACGCACCAATGGCGTTTTGAAAAATAGATGGAGGTGCATTCTTGGTGCTAGGGAGTTGCACTATTCTCCTGAAAAAGCCGCAAAAATCACAAATGTTTGCTGTGCCTTGCATAATATATGCATTCATTTCAAATGCAATACTGACGTCAACGATGTTGAACATGTTGATAGTATTAGCATACAATATAGTGATAGTGATGTAGTATCCTTGGCCACGCAGCAGTATTTGTCGGTTGCCCAAAATATTAGAAATAATATTGGACATAATCTGTAGTAGATATTCCCCTAAATTTAGACTCAGACACTAATAAACGGCAATCAATCACTTATATATATTGCGACAGCCTAATGTATATTTGTAAATTAAAATAATAAAACATAGGATTAGTTATCACATAGGAATAGCATCACATTTTATTTTAAACAAACTAAAAAACAATTCAAAACAACCAAAAAAAAACTCAATAAAATTCATGTTCAAAAACAAACAAAAAGAAAACACATAAATTCATATTCTAAAACTAAAAACAAAACTAATACTATTTACAGGTACGTTCATATGCACGTTTTCAGTCTGTGTGTATGTGTATATATATATTCAGGTACTTTCTAGATTATTTTTCAGTTCTTCCAGTTCTAAGAGTCGGCGGTTCTTTTCAATTTTATCCTCCACTTCTCTTAGCCGCAATTTTTCCATAATTAAATTGTGCCTTTTCTGCTCTTTTAGTTCTTCCTTTTTGACTTCATAAAGGCGGTCAATAGAACAATACACCTTTTTTGAAATTTGTTGCTGCTCAATCATTGCATCCAACATACGTTTCTGAATGTCTATCTCTTCTGATAGAACGTCGCGAGCGGATGCCTGTGTATTGAAATGCTGGCCACTTATTTTAATTTTTTTCGCCGGCGGCTTTTGCGGAGTGTCTTCATTGCTGTGCACCGCAGGACATTCAGCCTCCTCTCCGTCTGGCTCTAGCAACTCCAGAATTTCATTTGGAAGGCGTTCTGGGTTCTGTATTGTAGAAGTGGAAGATCCTAACCCATACTTGATGGCCACACCTTCCACTGACTCCTTCATGCCAACCAAATCGTATATGGCCTCTTCGTTTGCAGAAAACTTCTGCTCCATGTTGGGGCCTCCACCAGTTCCTCTGGAGTATTTGAGGTTTTGTGCCGCCTTCTGCCGTACATACTTTTTTTGATCGGCCCATACCTGAAAAAGGTTTTGCATTTTTGTCATTTGTGCATTGTACAAATCAAATTTTGTGGTACATACCTTCTTCCACTCGGCAACACTTTTTGATGGTGGCCCGGCAGCATTTAATTCCGCCTCCAAATTGCGCCATACCCGGTTTAGCTCCTCTTTTCCTCCCTTAAACCAACCTCGCGCAATATCGCTATGTAATTGCATAGAGGTAAGCAGAATGTCTAACTGCTTTTTGTTTGTTGTTTTTGACCTGAAAGTAAAAATAAATGTTTTTTTTTTCATTTTTCATGAAAAATTTTAAATACTTACATTTTTTGGCACAACTCGCTTGCAATTTTTTGGCGGAATTATTCCCAAAATTCGTTATCACATTCGCCCTTTTATTGACATTCATAATACCTACTTTTTTCCCGGGGAAGAGTTTCCCATTTTCGAAGTTCATTTAGAATAAGGGAGAAGGGAAAAGGGAAAAAATTCCCCGGGAGATTTTATTTAGAATAGGGGAACAGGGAATAGGGAAAAAATTCCCAGGGAATTGTCATTAAGAATCGGGGTGATAGCAAATTGTAAAGAATCGCCGACTTGTTTCGCAAGTTATGACAGTTATAAGAATTGGAAATTGTGACCCTTTGTGGTTGAGGTACCAGAAGGTGTTGGCAGATATATATCATCTTTACAATTGATTTTATGTTAGGAAAATTTTTGGATTAGTGAAACTTAAAGAGAGTTGGATGTTTATTTCGCCTTCTTTGAGCTTTTTGTTTTTCAAAATCTTGAATTCTATGTATGATCTCTACCATCTTTATAACAGATCTTGTGTTTATGGAAATATGGAGGTGTACCAAGTCTGAATGGACTCGGATGTTCATTTTATGACCTTCATGGATACTCAAAATGTTGATCCATGGTGGGGAGGTACCAAAATGAGTGGACCGATATATCCCATCTTCACACCAGACCTTGAGTTAATAAAAATATTGTGATGTGTGTAATTTGAAGAGAACCGGATGCTTATTTTCGATTTTATGATCGTTTTGGTTATTTAAGACTTTGACCCTTGTGGGGGAGGCACCAGAAGGAATGATCCGATCTCTATCATCTTTATAACATATCTTGTATTGATGGATATATTGAGATGTGCCAAGTCTTAATGGAAACTGATGTTAATTTCGTGTTTTATGAGCTTTTCATGAATATTCAAAATTTTGACCCTTTGTAGCGGAGATACCAGAAGGAGTGGACCAATATGTTCCATCTTCACACCAGACCGTGGGTTAATAAAAATATTGTGATGTGTGTAATTTGAAGACAATCGGACACATACATCACATTTTATAAGAGTTACAATTAATCAAAATGTTGAGCCTTTGTGGGGGAGGTACTTGATGGACCGATATTGTCAATTTTAGCACCTGATCTAGCACTGATGCAAATATTAGGATTTGCAAAGTTAGAACAAAATCGGATTATCCTTTCTCTTTCTGTGCAGTAAATTATTTTCTTTGAAAATGTTGACATTTTGTGTGGCAGGTACCAGAAGGAATGGAGCGATATTGCCCCTCTCCGAACTCGTTCTAAGTTTGACAATAATATTACGATGTACCATGTTTGGATCATATCGGATACTCCCTTCGTGCGCATCAGTCAGCCAAACAGACAGACAGACGGACATCTCTAGATCGACTCCAAATGTCCTGAAACGGATTGAGTCCAAAGAGACATAGGGTCTAAAAGCGTTATTTCCATGAGGCATGTTTTGACCCTATCTAGCCATATGGCGGAGGGTATACAAATAAATAGAAATCATCACAGATTACTATAGGTCCATAAGGGTCATGACTTCCAACTAGAGTGGCGACGACACCGATTACTGCTAGCTCTTTGAAACTGAAACAGTCCAACATTATTTCTGCCACATTTTAACTCTCTTCATTGTGAGACACATGCCTAAGGTTGAGTAAAGTATGCACGATATGTCTTCATTTTTCCGATACAGAAGTAGCTAAAGTGGCCAATGATTGCAAAATTTCAGTTCGAAAAAATTTAATTAAAATATGTCCATATTGCTATTATTCTTGTGATTTTAAGTTTTTTTTCTTGTGAAAAAGATATGTGTGTATGTATATTTTTTCGTTTCTTTTGTTTTATTAGTTGGTAAAATAGTATATAATGTTGGATGTTATGTATAACATAAATTAAAGTATTATTTTGTGGGTAAAGTGCTGGTGTTTTTTTATTTTGTTAAATTTATATGAAAAGCCTAATCCTACGTTTTTTTCCTATAGAACATATTCATAATATGTGTGTATGTGTAAGTATTTAAATCTGTGGTGTTATTTACAAAATGTTATTGGAAATATTCAAATGAAATTCAGAAATGACATAATCTTTCAAATGTTTTTTTTTTCTTGATTGCATTTATTGAAAATACTATTGCATACAAATTGTTTTGCGATATGTTGCGAATGTTTCAACATTCACATTCGTATTCATACATATGATATGAAAAAAGGTAGAGAGTGAAATAATAATGATAATATACTTAAGGAGGAGGGGTCAGCAAATTTACAATGAAACGAAATCTCAGAATTTTTAGTACAAAAACAAAAACCTGTTCCCATTTTCTACTACTAGTCAAAAAAAAAAAAAAACAATTTGTGCTAAGATCGATTTTCATTTTCATAAGTAATATTTGAAATTTTGCATACTGGCAGATTGAATTGAATTAAACTGAACTGTGTTCCTGTACATAATATATTTATATACAGGGTGAAAGGAAAAAACTGCAACCAACTTCAGACTGCTGTCATTTCTAAGCCACTCGTCCAACAGCTGTTAAAATTATTCCAATGACAGCTCATTATATTGTTTACAAGTGTACAAAAAAGGGTTTTTTTGAGAATTTTCAAAAAAAAAAAAAGTTATTCGCGATGGAAAAAGTTATGGCGTGATTGTGTGATTTCTCTATATTTGGCTGGAAAACCACAAGGGGCTATCGTTAGAGCACTCCAGCATTTAAATGTGAATAAATCATTTGTGTCTCGTACCAAAGCTCGTTACCGTGATACTGGGTAGCGTAGCCCGACGTCAAGGAAGTGGACGAAAGAAAACAGCAACATCAGCAGAAATTGTTCGAAAAGTAAAGAAGCGACTTGATCGAAACCCACGACGCAGTGGCCGAAAAATGGCTCGTGAGCTCAACATATCGTAATATTCCATTCGGAAAATATTAAAAAATAAGCTCGGGATAAAATTCCAAAAAGTGCAAGAATTTACACCGCAACAGCAACAGAAAAAAAATAGACCCAAAAGAGGTAAAGAATTGCTTCGCTTGACCGAAAGTGGTGAACTGCCGAATTTGGGTTTCTCCAATGAGAAAACATTCGTTGTCCAGCAGTTTGTAAACAAACAAAATAATCCGCTCGTGTTTACTTGCCAAAGAGGTCAGCTGAAAATGTGCACCTTCGGTTGGCCACCAGAACTCAAGCGCGGACCATGGTGATGGTGTGGGGGCGCCATAACAACCGATGGTCGCTTTCCGCTTGTATTAATCGACCATGGCATCAGAATAAATGCCGAATATTATCGCGAAAATTTGCTGGAGGGTGTATAAAAGCCTTGGGCACGCAAACATTTTGGCCGCAAACCTTGGACATTCCAACAGGACTCAGCAGCATCGCACTCAGCAGGCGCCCCCCAAGAATGGGTACAAAATGAGGTTCCTAGCTCCATTTCCAGCCCACAATGGCCACCAAAATCTCCGTATACCAATCCGTTGGACTATTGTGTCTGGAGTATTTTGGAAAGAAAGGTTGGCACTAAAACATACCAAAGTGTCGATCACCTCAAGCAAGCGCCTCGCCGGGAATGGCCCAAAAAAGCGCAGAGCAACGTTCGGGCAGTGTGTGACGGTCTCATTGGCCGTTTGAAGGCCATAATTCATGCCAATGGTGACCAATTCGAACAAATCTAAATTTATTCTAAAATTTGATGCTATTTCCGACATATTTTGCTTTAATTCAATAACATTGAAAAAACAAAATCTAAAAATTATGGCGTTTGACTTTGTTGCAGTTTTTTTTTATTATTTCACCCTGTAGTATGTATATCAAAAAGAATATTGGAGATTTGTGTTTCAGTTTTTTTTTTTGCATACATAATACAATCAATACGTAATAATTATGTTTTGCTTTTTGTTTAATATTTTAACTAATATCACTTGAATAAATACACTTTTTGTTTGTAATAAATCTAATTATGAATTGAGAAATTATTATTCAGATTGTGGTGGTGTAGTGTGTCTGTTGTGTTCTGCGCGCACACACTTTCCCTAAACACCATTGCAATACTAGAACTATAAATATATGTTTTTTCGGTCCGTCCGTCCTTTCTACTTTTGATCATCCTCGTCGTCTTCTGTTTATTGTGTGTGTGTGTGTTCCGAATATGCGAATAAAGAATCTAAGTAGTTGCAAATATCATTCTTAATATGTCAAAAAGAATTTATTTATTACCTATATACAACATACAAATGAATAGATGTATGTATGCTTCTTGGAGAATTTGTTTAATTTGTTATTGTTTTTTCTTTTTTGTTGTTGTTTTTTTTTCTTTGCTTTTTCTATTGTTGCTTGGCTACAGCATTGGCTCTTTGCATTGCCAATCCACATTTTGTTTATGTTAAAAATCAATTCATCTTGTCTTATTTGCAATATCCTCTGGGGGTTCTCTATTTTTGTTCGTCGTTGGATTTCATCTTCCTCACCTTCTTCATCATCTTTATCCTCATCATCATCACATACTTAGAATTAGAATTAGAAAAACAAAAAATACACAAAAAAAAATAGATAAACACAAAATTATTCCACAGCAAATCCACAGGTCTCCTCCACGGCTTGGGTGAGTTTATCGTACAACAATTGATAGTTTTCGTAGGGGGGCAAGTCGATGCGATTGAAACATGTGTGAGCCTTGGGCAGGTTTTGTGTGGGTACATCTGAGGTCAGATGTATTGTGAATAGCCTGGGACCCACAGCCCCTGTTGATCCCTGCAGGGCCCGGAATCCTTGTAGGGGAACCCTGGAAGAGCCCGTTACAAATTGTAAGAGCCTTGCACGCATTTCCGAGCTATACGATTCCACCGCCTGCAAAAGAAAACGCATTTCAAAACCCAATTCCACCTACCACTCGGCCAAACAACTCACCTGCCAGAACCAAACAACTTGTGGTGTTTCCGGGGTACAATGTTTCAGTCGGGTATTGTTGCGCCAATCGTTAACATCTATGCTTGAAATGCCACCAATAACCAATTCCAGTTCTCGTTCATCAAATGGACGCAATAAATGATTGGGTATCAATTCACAAAAGCCTAGGCGAAAGCAGACAACAACACATTAAGGACCCCTTGTAAACATCATCATCATGACACTCACCTTTTTGTAATGCTAAAAATTGCTGTTCTATACCGCGCATAAATCTATAATTTACATACAGCTTAACATATTCCCGTTTGTTGTCTTCGGTAACTGGTATCGAGGCTCCAGAGGGTTTGAGTTCGTGTACCACCAAGGCACCAAAGCTGTTATTTTCCACGCTGAATGTCGACTCGATGACATTGGTAATGTTATTTTCCCTGCAATCGGAAATCAAGTAAAAAAAGATATATAATCAAATCGTCCATTTACTTACAACATCCAGGTCAAACTACGATGCAGTTCCGGATCGACTCCCTCAATATCACTAAGTGTTATTGGTTTATTAAGCAGTTGCTTGTAGAAGGGCGTGGTGAAGCCACCGTCCAAGCAATGGCCATGGAATACAGCTATGCCCAAAATACGGCCAACAAAATGAAAATAGGATAAATGATCGGGATTGACGCCCGAGTCGGGATTTATTTGCAATGTGTAGTGGTCATCGCGACTGTATTGGAACAGACCGTATTGGGGATTGAGCATTTCGCGTGACAATAGGTGAAGCCATTCACGCGCCACACCGCCATAGTCGAGGCCTTCCTCGCCCTTGAACTTCACCATCAATCGTTTGCGCATATCCTTGGGACGCATTTTCATGATCAGTCTGTAACTCTCTTCGAATATCTCGCTGCGAGATACTTCCAAACGGCAGTGACCCGATTGAGGCTGCAGTGCCTGCAGCTCTGTGCGCAAGGCGCGTAGCTTTCCAACCAAGTCTCGTCGGTATTTGGGCAGCAGATCGGCACCTTCCAGCAGGCCCTGTGGCAGATCTGCCGGCACAGCACGGCCCTCGGGTATACGGATGTGGGGAGCACCATTTGCCGTCGTCACGGCACTACTGGCAACGCCGCTCGTCGCACTTCCGGCCAGAGGATGTGATGCAGCCGGCGATAAATGTTGAATAATACTGCCATTGCCAGAACCAGCACTCGAATTGGCGGCGGCGGGTGAAGCTATATTCCCTGAATTGTTGCTGTTGGCCGATGTACTGGAGGCGTTGCCGGGCGCTACCACCCCTCTTCGTATCAACTGTAGAATGTTGCCATTCAAACGCGGATCCGTGAATTGTGTGGTGCGATTATTATGATCTACAAAATACACACGACCCGATGCAGTCTTTCTCTGCTCCCAGCCACTTGGCAGGGGGCCGATAGCATCCAGGGTCAAATTATCCGTGTGGAAATCTCGAGGAATACGAGGATCATGCCACGTGGAAATGGCAGTGGGTATGTGATAGAAATACACCTGACCCTGTTGGGTGATGCGCATTTCATAGCCGGGGGGCAAATCCATAAATGGCCTCCCGCTCTGTTGCGAGCTGGCTGCAGCAATTCCGGGATGACGCATAGCACTGCTGCTGCTGCTGTTGTTCGAGCGTGAGCTTCTCGAACCGCGTCGACGGGCGGAGTCGTCCACATTTCGCGATGACCTCCGTTGTGAACGTTGCGAACTGGCATTGGGAACAGCCGAGGCAGATGATGTGGGAGTGCATTGGCTGCCACCACTTCCTCGGGGCGTTTCACCCCTCTCCCGGGTGTTGTTTATGTGATTTGTGGATGCATTTGGAGGTGTTGCAACACTAATACTTGTGTTTGGATTAGCTGATGATGACGACGATGTATTGGCATTGGGACTTTGTACATTGCAGCCGTTGCCTCCACTGCCATTGCTGGCGCTCTTGTTGCCATTGCCATTCGTTATGGGACTTTGTCGGGGAGTGACATTCAGATTATCGCCCTCATTGGCATTCCAATTGGGTGGTGTGGCGTGGTGAGAAGAAGATTGAGGCTGGGCCGATTGGGCCATCACCACACCGTTGCAAGAAGATGAGTTGCCATTGGTTAGATTCTGGGCTGTTTGTATTTGGTTTTGCACCACCCCCCGTTGAGGCGTTGTTGTGTTCGCAGACTCCACATTGTTGTGACCATTGGACAGTAATGTGGGAGCTGGAGCTCCATGCTTTGGTGTTTTGGCCTGTTGGCTCGTGTCGTCTCGAGAAACGGCATGATTGTGTCGTGGTGTCTGTGGCCCCGAATTAGAACTTAAATGTGCGCTAGTGTTGTGGTCGCTGCTATTGTTTGTGCTGCTGCTGCCGCCGCCCATGGGTGGTGAAGGTGTTGTTGTTTGATGTTGTCGACTACTCTTCTTGTTGCCGGGCGTCGCAATTGATGACACAGATTGTGGCGTGGCTTCTGGAGTATTCTCTACCCTGGTGGGACTACAGTTTTCTTTGCCTCCCACATTTCCCACCGATGGCATGGACAATATTTCAGTTGAATGTCGTCGTTCATCGTTCTCCCGAGCGCTGCGATTATTGTGGCCATTCAATAAGTTGGTGCATGTCGTGGAACGGGTGGGACCAACCGGATGATGGGCCGATGCCGTTCCCCCCGTGCCATTTTGTGCCGCAGTACGATGGTGGGGCGTTTGATGCTGCTGTGTTGCTGTATGTTTGCTCGGCCTATCCCACTGGGTCGTTTTAGTGGTGTGATTAACATAGTAGACACGCCCATTACCGGTGCGACGCTCTTCCCAACCCTCAGGCAGACTATCCTCGGACGAGTCATCCTCTGATGGTCCACGAACATCACCGCCTGGGCCGACAATGGCCAAGGGATTGCCGCTGCATGGCCCATCCTTTGAGAGAAACGCTATAATTATCTGGCCGCGTACCATTTCATCGTCATCCGTTGAAAATTTGCCCAAATCCAAACGTTGGACTGAAAGCAAAAGAGAAAAAAAAATAAATCAATTTTTAAAGTTCGCACAGTGTCACACTTACATCCAGCTCCTTTTAAACGTTGTATCGTTTCCGATGGTATGCGCACACATCCGAGAAATCCGCTGCTTTTGTGAATCTTTCGTTGATTCCATACCGTTATTGTTATGGAATCGTTGCGACCCAAAAACAAGTCGTAATGGGCATTCCATTTTGGATCTAATGTCGATTTACTGATATCCGTTGAGTAAACCTGTCCAGTACCATCAACTTGAACCTTTGCGAAAGGGTCAGGGAGGCCTTGAATTGAATTAAAAAAAAAGAAGTCGGTGAAAATATCGAAATGAATTATTTTTAGGCAGGTTACAAATTATAGGAGGAAAAGAAAAACAGTTACTTTTTCAACCAACATTTTGACGATTTAAGGGGGAGTGATCTGCCATATCTCATTTTCTCCCCAGATTTTGTGTTTGTAGAGGCATTGAGATGCGTGAAGTATGAAAATGCATATTTCGCATTTTATGAGTGTTCAGTGTTCCAGAAGGAATGGGACAGTATCTCATTTTCCCATCAGATGTGTTGATAAAAACATTAAAATGTGGGAAATTTGAAAAGAATCCGATGCTTATTTTGCGAACCACAAGTGGTTATCGTTAGAGCACTCCAGCATTTAAATTTGAATAAGTCTGTTGTGTCTCGTACCATCGCTCGTTACCGTGATACGGTAGCGTAGACCGACGTCAAGGAAGTTTACGGACGTGGACGGAAGAAAACAGCAACATCAGCTGAAATGGTTCGAAAAATAAAGAAGCGACTTGATCAAAACCCGAGTCGCAGTGGCCGAATAATGGCTCGTGAGCTGAAAATATCGCAATATTCCATTCAGCAAATGTTGAAAAATGAGCTTTTGAATTTCCAAAAAGTGCAACAACTTACACCGCAACAGAAAAAAATAGACTCAAAAGAGCTAAAGAGTTGCTTAGTGGTGAACTGCCGAATTTGGTTTTATCCGATGGCAAAACATTTGTTGTCCAGCAGTTTGTAAACAAACAAAATGATCCGCTCGTGTTTACTTGCCAAAGAGGTCAGTTAAAAATGTGCACGTTCGGTTGACCACCAGAACTCAAGCGCCGGCCATGGTAACAGCCGATGGTCGCTCTCCGCTTGTATTAATCGACTGTGGCATCAGAATAAATGCCGAATATTATCGCGAAAATATTCTGGAGGGTGTATTAAAGCCTTGGGCACTCAAACATTTTGGACGCAGACCTTGGACATTCCAACAGGACTCAGCACTATCGCAATCAGCACGCGCCACCCAAGAATGGTTACAAAATGAGGTTCTTCGCTTCATTTCCAGCGCACAATGGCCACCAAAATCTCCGGATACCAACCGGACTATTGTATCTGGAGTATTTTGGAAAGCAAGGTTGGCACTAAAAAATACCAAAGTGTCGATCACCTCAAGCAAGCGCTTCGCCGGAAATGGGCCAAAATACCGCAGAGCAACATTCGGCCTGCGTGTGACGGTTTCATTGGCTGTTTGAAGGCCATAATTCGTCCCAAAGGTGACCAATTCGAACAAATCTAAACTTATTCTAAAATTTGATGCTATTTCCGAAATTTTTGCTTTCATTCAATAAAATTCCAAAAAAAAAAAATGTGAAATTTGTTGCAGTTTTTTTATCTCATCCTGGCTACAGAGTGTAGCCATATGGTGGAGGGTATAAAAAGAACATATCCCTACCTTTTCCTGAAGACTACAACTTATCGAAGTAACTTCCATGTTAGAATTGGAATAAAAAAACCCGCCGATCAAAACTGAAACAACAACATTCGATCTTCTTATATCCATTAATAAAATAATATATTTTTAATATATTTTTTGTTTGTATACAATATAAAGAATAACAAAAGATTTCCCGCTAATGTTTGCCTTTGGCAAAACTCGGGTAAAATACCCACGAAAAATCCCCAGAATCTGTTGGTCCTTATCTGTTGACAAGACAAGTGTAGATCCCCCTGCTAGAGACATTAAACAAAAGCTAAGATTCGTATAAAAGACACATCGCCGTGTAGATTATTATCAGTCTAAGAAAAGGTGCAGAAGAAGAAGTAACAAAAAAAAAAAAAGACAACACATCTACTGGAATCTCAAAAATGTTGGGCAAACAATTAATTGGATTTTTACTACTCGTCGTTTTGGCTTTGGCCAGTTTAAGTAGAGCAGAACCCTATGTGGATCATGGATACAATCGGAGACCAAATCAGAGGCCCATACCAATTCCTACAACACCACCGTTTAATCCCCATGCCAGGACTTGGTGAATTCGATTAGAGGAACAAAGGCAATTCAAACACTGCTCTATAAATAAATAAATAAATATTTGAAAAAAAATAGATGATTTTTAATGCCTTATTTTATCATGGGAAATCAGTTGCATTCAACATGCACATGCACCGTCATCACAATCAAATTGACCCGCTCCTCCTCGAAAAAAGAAAAAAATTTTATTTGCAACGAATCACAAGAAACTCCAGCAAAGGCATTTGCTTGCCACAAAACTGGGTCAAATGCATACGAACGGCAAATTAAGTTCAAAATCAATTTCAATTCCCTTAATTAATAGACAGCGCATTAAAAGCAAAGGCACACACGCAGCCTAGAACAAGACGATGAAGATTTAAATAGCGTGGTGGCGGCGGTACAACACATTTTGCTATGACGCATTCGTTGGCGGTCGGTTTTGGCAAAATGGCAAACATAAACATTTGTAAACCCTGCTTTCTATTGATTGATATAAGCAGTTAAGCCCTCCCCGCCACAAACTCACACACACACACGCACAGTATTTATCAGTATGAATTTGCTGCGATAGGAGGAAATGAAGCAAAAAGTATCAGTGAAGCTATTTGCAAATTGTTTTTTTTTTGTTCTTTTCAATTTAGCAAACTGATAACTGAATTGATGGCACCGGAAAATAGGTTGCTAAAAATAAGAAACTGTTGATGAGCACTGGCGGGATCATTTCAAATTGTCAAAAAATGATTCAGAATTCTTTTGCAAAAAAAACTGCGAGGAATGTGTTCCAAAATAATTACCACGATCATTAATGTTTGAATGGATGTAATGATATCAATAATGCGTTTTTAAACTGAATAATGCCGGTTTTGTACTTCACTTGGAGATCTAATCGATGCAGAATGACAACGTTTAGGACATTTGGATACCGTGGAATGTATTATGAAAGGATAGAAGGAAAAAAATAAACCATCAATGGATACAGCCAAAAATTACAAGACATACCGACCCAAAATGTAAACGAAACAAGTAAAATAGTGTCAGTCGGTTTTGCCGACAGATGTACAGGATGACATTAAAAAACTGCAACCAAATTCAGACTGCTGTATTAAAGCCTTGGGTACGCAAACATTTTGGCCGCAGACCTTGGACATTCCAACAGGTCTCAACAACATCGCACTCACCACGCGCCACCCAAGAATAGTTACAAAATGTTGTTCTTCGCTTCATTTCCAGCGCACAATTGTCACCAAAATCTCCGGATACCAATCCGTTGGACTATTGTGGCTGGAGCATTTTGGAAACCAAGGTTTTTTCAAAATCTTAAACCCATGTGGGGGAGGTACCGGAAGAAATGGTCCGATCTCTACCATTTCTATAACAGATCTTGTGTTGATGGAAATATTGAGATGTACCAAGTCTGAATATAGTCGGATGTTCATTTCGTGTTTTATGAGCTTCATGGATATTCAAAAATTTGACGCTTTGTGGGGAAGGTACCAGAAGCAGTGAACTGATATATTCCATTTTCACACCAGACCTTGGGTTAGTAAAAATATTGAGATGTGTGTAATTTGAAGAGAACCAGATGCTTATTTCGGCTTTTATGATCGTTTTTGCTATTCAAAACTTTTACCCTTTGTGTGGGAGGTACCAGAAGGAATGGTCCGATCTATACCACCTTTATAACAGATCTTGTGTTGATGGAAATATTGAGATGTGTCAAGTCTGAATGGAATCGGATATTAATTTCGTTTTTTATGAGCTTCATGAATATTCAAAATTTTGAGCCTTTGTGGGGGAGGTACCAGAAGGAGTGGACCGATATATTCCATCTTCACACCAAACCTTACGTTAATAAAAATATTGTGATGTGTATAATTTGAGAACAATCGGACTCTTACATCACATTTTATGAGAGTTGTAATTATTCAAAGTGTTGACCCTTTGTGGGGGAGGTGACTGCTAGAGTGGACCGATATTGTCCATTTTCGCACCTGACCTAGCACTGATGAAAATGTTAGGATTCGCAAAGTTGGAGCAAAATCGGATTATCCCTTCTCTTTTTGTGCAGTAAATGATTTTCTTTGAAAATTTTGACATTTTGTGGAGGAGATACCAGAAGGAGTGGACCAATACATTCCATTTTCGCACCAGACCTTGGGTTAATAAAATTATTGGGATGTGTGCAATTTAAAGACAATCGGACTATTACATCACATTTTATAAATGTTATAATTATTCAAAATGTTGACCCTATGTGTGGCAGATACTTTATTGAGTGGACCGATATTGTCCATTTTCGCATCAGACCATGCAATTATGCAAATATTAGGATGTACAAAGTTGGAGCCAAATCGAATTAACCTTTCTCTTTCTGTCCAGTTAATTATTTTCTTCGAAAATGTTGACATTTTGTGAGGGAGGTACCAGAAGAAGTGGACCGATATTGCCCATTTCCCAACTCGATCTAAGCTTGATAAAAATATTACGATGTAGATCGATTTCAAATGTCCTGAAACGGTCCAAAGAGACCTATAGACAGCTCTTATTTCGATTATATATACCCTCTCTAGCCATATGGCTGAGGGTAAAAAAGGGCAATATTAAAACGGTGTTTGGTAAGCCACAGGTGGTTTTTGATCATCAAAATTAGAACATGTCTCAATGGACAACATTTCCTAGACATCACCACCCATTAACAAATATATGTAGGTACATTCTGCTTGGCATTTGCTTTTATAAACTAACTTTATTTATTGTTATTAAAATACATTACCACAAACACATCTCCCATGCCCAATATAAACACCATTTATTGCGGCTTATTTATATAAAAAAAATTACACGCAAGTGTTGAACAAAACAAAACAAAAAAAAACAGAAAATAAATTAATAACGCTTGAATGACTGCGATTTCCAGCAGCTAGCACTTTTACCGGAAATAAAAAAAAAAAAAAAACAAAAAAATATTTCCAAATTTTTATTTCAGCTTGAAAAATGTGCTATAATTTTTAAAATAGCTAAAATTCTTTGGAGAGATTTACTCGCTTACATAATGGCCAAATGTTAGAAATGTTTTGGAATAAAAAAAACAAGCCAAATTTAATAGAAACTGCAAAAGGAATTTCTATTGCCATTTATAAACTCGAACATTTTAATGCCCAACAATGGTGTGAAGTTCGAAAGGGAAATTGAATTGAACGTAATGGTTGCTTGATTTCTACATACCGACTTTTGGAAATGGCATAACAAAAACCACATCAACAACAACGACAACAAAAAGCAGTTGTGTTAAAATAAATAGCAAAAAATTGCGCTTCTTTGGAAAATAACGAAAAAAAATTAATGAGTATTAGTCAGTTTTGTGTTTTTTTTTTCGAAAATGTTGAACTTTTGTTCGGAAGGTACCAGTAACAGTGGACCGTTGTATTTCATCTTCGCAATTCATACGAAATTATTAGGGTATGCAAAGTTTAACTTATTCCCAATTTTATGCCAACAATTGTTCAATCAAAATGTAAACCTTTTGTGGGGGAGATAAAAGAAAGAGTGGACCGATATCGTTAAATTTTATAGCAGACCTAGCACTACTACAAATATAAGGAACCACAAAGTTTTAATAAAATAATAGTTATGCGAGCGGTGCCAGAAGGTGTAAACCAATATTGTCCATCTTTAAACTCGATCTAAGTTAGATAATAACATTGCTATGTACCAAGTTCGAACAAAAGAAAATGCTCCCTTTGAGAGTTATCGTGCGCACTAGCCAGACAGACGGATACTGCTAAATCGGCTCTAAATGTCCTAAAACGTATTTCGTCCAAGAAAAGCTGGGGTCTAAAGTCGTTATATTGATGAGGCACGTTTTGGTCGTATCAAATGATATATAAGGTATCTCTGTACCCTGGTGACTGAGGGTATATCTTTCTAGGTCAATTTCAAATGGGGGCAGAAAAAGCTCATTGGACGCGAAATGTCATTGAATTTCTGTTTTATGATCACAGCTGCCGAAAGACGGAATATACACGTTAGGATCCTATACCTTGGGACTTTCACATTTTGCCACTATCGCCATACATTCTATGTTGGAAACTACCTCTAGTGATATAGGTCTGTGACGAACAGAATGGCGTATGTTATATGAACAATAACCTATACTACTTCCTTTGTTTCATATAAATTGTTTTTGGTTTCCATGTTGAGGAGATTGGATGGAGGCTCACACCCCTGTCATGATACAGAAAAGCGCGGTCCTACCCTGCAGCAGCATGAGGCAACGTAGACCATTTTCACATTTTGCCACTATCGCCATACATTCTATGTTGGAAAGTAGGTCTGTGACGAACAGAATGGCGTATGTTATATGAACGCTGCTAATACCCTACGCTAATTCCTTCGATCCATGTAAATTGTTTTCGGTTGAGTTTCCATGTTGAGGAGACTGGATGGAGGCTCACCCCCTGTCATGACTCAGAAAAGCGCGGTCCTACCCTGCAGCAGCATGAGGTCGCTTTTCGAAATGTACCGACTTGCTGCATTCGGTTCATGTTACCGGATAATACCTGCGGTGTATGACGTCTGGAAAAACCGAACAAACGTGGCCTGCTTTTAGTATGGAAATGTGGTTTCGATTTTACATACTTAGTTGAATTCTATCACAGTGTGGTGCTTTATATAAAATGCAATAAAAGGACTTTCAAGGTATTCAATTAGACAACGGAAAACAAATTTGAAATCTAAAATAGCTTTCTTGTTCCTGTATTTATGTTATGTTAAATTCTTCTCCCTCTGAGATGTTTATCTGTTATGGACTGTATAAAAGATCGAATAAATAAAATCTTTGCAATGAAAGCTTCAAAATGTTATACTTACGAAATAAGTCTTTTCGAACCAAATTTCTCGCACACAAGACTGTAAGAGAAAATAAAATTATATTTTATTCAGCTTTTTTTAATAAACAACTTATTTTTATGAAAAGTAATAATATTTCTTTGAGGATTTCCAATTAGCTTACGATCTCATCTCAAATGTTGTGTAAAGCACAAAGAATTTATTTGTTCAGATGAATGAATAGATAATTGGAATTTCCCAAAAAATAGGGTACTAACAAGCTACCCAGTTATATTTTTTACTATTATTGACTGAAAACATTAGAGTGGACTTACTTGTTATACGTATTTTGTGTGCTCCATTGCGTCGCGGATATTCCAATTTATTCATAATTTAAAAACAAAATAATACAAATTTATACACCAAACTAATAATAGATATTATGACGAGTTGAATTTAAACATTTTTATAAACAATTCTCTTCACGTTGGCCCATTAGTTTCCATTCGATTCCATATTTTTGTTGTTGTTAGCGATTTTTTTTATTGCCTACTTTTTATGCTACTGGATTTTGTTGATATGGACAAATATCTGGGAGATGAACTACAAAAAATAATAATGAGCAAATATTTTATGAAACGCGCTAAAACAGTATTATTTATATTTTGCTAAACTAGTGCCCTTTCTGAAGTTCTTGCCGATTGTTTTTGGCGGAAATGGAAAATAAACTTTCTAAAACCTGCAATTCTCCCTATTTCCTGGGCGGGTCTGGTTTAAGCAGCCGCCCTGTACATTATTGTTTACAATCGTTTTAAGCCATCAAATTAAGATAATTAAAAAAAGGTTACAACTACTATGTTTTTCTCCAGAAATCACAATAATATCCTGTTCCCTTTTGCTCACAGCTCTGGGCATTTGCATTCATTTGCACCACGAAACCTAACCTTCTTCCTCATTTTCATTTGTAGGACTTCTTTCAAGTGCACAAACTTCATGCCACTAATTGTCTCGTTGTAACCTTTGATCGTCTTTCGAGATTAGTGAGTGGTTAATATAACAACTTCTTTGGTGCCACTACCTTTATTAAATGCATATTGAAATATTATTAGTATTATTTCTTCATTTTTTGTTGTCGTAATTCTCTTTTGCACTATAATTATTGCATTTTTTTCTCCTCTTCTCACATGCACAACATTCACATACACCAGCCAGCCAGCCTCACACAGCCAACGATTTTTTCCACTTGGTTCAATTTCTTTTGCAAACAATTCACGCCTTAATTCCAAAATAATGCCAATGCGTTTGGCTTTCAAAAAAGAAAAAAAAACTGTGCGACTTTTATTTCGACCGACCGATTTTTTAGTGCAAAAGCACTCGAAGAAACATTTGTTGTTCCTTGAGCAATATTATTATTATTTTTTATATTTTTCTGTCTGCTTTTAGACGAACGATTTAGATGACCACCACGATATCACGACGACAGTTTGAACACAACATTTTCCATCGATTGCCGTGCATTTGCGAGAATATTTTTTTCTTGAGAGACGTGAACACAGGGGCTTTTCGCTTACGACAATAATATTAATTAATTAATTAAAGTGTTAATAAAAATTGTAAAAATTGTTAATGCGTTCAACCAAAAACTTCCGCCATATTGAAATAACAATTTGACAAGTAAATTCATTTGACAAACTAAACAAAAGTGTACCATACGCTGCGCAACATCACATCGTAAATTGTTAGAAGGAGTTCACATTCCTCGATATAATTTTATAATTTAAATTTATAATTTAAATCCATTTGTTTTACAAAATACTCCCCACAGGCTTCTTAAAAAATGTAAAATTTTAAGGAAAAATACAAAAATATGGTTGATGTGCAGTTTAAGGATTAGGTGCCGGTATCCGGATGACAAATATGTTCTTTTTTTTCCTTGAGGAAGCCCATACGTGCCAAAATTAAAGCCCCAACTTTTTTTCGCCTTTTATTATTATGGGCATAAGAGTTTCACATGCCTGCTAAACTAATTGTAAGCGCATAAAGGTGAAAATACATAAAACGCTTTTCTGATTGACTTAAGTCATCGGATGGCTTCTTCGGAAAAGAACAAAGAAGCCTAGGACCAAAATCGAACTAAGTCAACCTAAAACTCCTTTGTTATAAAAACCACGATTGTACAAACTGTCAAACCGATTTTGGAATTGAAAATGTTAAGAAAAATCATTGAAATTTGTAAAAATTGTTGAAAAATGCATGCAATGGACGTACAAAATATTTCACCATGGTGGGAGTTTGAATATTTTTATACGGTATGTCGAACTTTAGGTAACGCTGTTTAACAACATTTTTAAATTTTACCTTTTTCCAAAAGTATGTTAATTAACGACATATTAACAATGACAGCGTATTTACATCACAGAGAGCGTAAATGTAAACATGATCTAAGTGACATGTAAGCCCTATTCGCTTTGGTCAATTTCTACATATGTTTTCTTCTGTTTGATGCTGGTTCCTTCATTCTATGAATTCTTAGCTGGTGCTGTTACACAAATTTTTCAATTTTTACCAAAAGTAAAGCAACAAAGCAAACATGTTTCCATATGCTTTGCGACATATTAATAATGACAGCGTATTTACATCACAGAGAGCGTAAATGTAAACATGATCTAATTGACATGTAAACCCTATTCGCTTTTGTCAATTTCTATGTGTTCTTCTGTTCGATGCTGGTTCCTTCATTCTATGAATTCTTAGCTGGCTCCCTCATTATATCTCTCTCTTTTTGCAATCCCATTGGACGAACTCGACTTGTGTATCCCTAACAAAAAAATATATACATCCTCCTCTTATAAAAACAACATTTCTGTAATTTTTTGCTTTGTTGAGACAAAAATTTAAATAAAATGTCCCACAAATACTGTAAATAAATATGTATATTGAATTAAATACTGTTTGTGTCCAGTGTGCATAAGGAATAAACAAAATAGTGATGATACACAATTTAGAATTTAGGGAGTTGGTTGTCGTGAAAAAAAGAAAGAAAAGAACTTAGTTGTTGGACAAACTCTTGAATGGTAAAAATACCAATAGACAGGAGGAAAAAACGAAGAAAAAAACTTGTGATATTCGGTTAAAAAGAAAAAAATAATGCTGCAAAAATAAGCCGAATAGAATTGGACAAAAAACGGGAAAAATTACATAAATTTTTATCCAGAGGGAGGAGACGTTTTAACAAAAAAGAAAAAAAAGAAAACCCGAAAAATAAATTTCTTCCACCACACATTTGTCGTTTGTGTAACTTGTCTCTGTATGTATGTATGTTCATTCGCAAGCAAGCAGGCAGAGCCAGTCAGAGTATAATACAACAGTAGACACAAAGTTTTTAAAGTTTGTGCTATTCTGCATGTCGTCTGAATTTAATAAACATGGTGAAATTGATGGCCACCACCAGCATACGCTTCTATATTAGCTTTCTGATTACGAATCATGACAGAAGGACATGAGAGGTAAGTCCATTAATTATTTGTTAAAGATTTTTCATTTGGAGTTTTCTTTGATTTTTTGTTTTTTTGTTAAGGTTGGTTGTTGTTGGTGTGGTAGGGTGGTGACGGCGGTGGTTCAAGAAAGTATATCTATGTTCCATATAGGTACAATGTGTGTATGTGTACCCACATAGTTGTCAGTCATTTCAGACAGTCATTCAAAATTATGCTTTCAGAATGATTTCCAAATAAGTTGGTAAAATATTCCTCCTGTTTTGAAAAATAAATTTAAGCAGATAAATAGAAATTGAGAGATTTATTGAACAGTTGCATATAGCAAAAAGAGCACATCCACCCAGAGAGGCATAATAGTGTATGTGTTGCGAGAGAGAGAGAGAAAGGGAACTGATAGCAAGAGAGCACGCATTCACATATTCATTGAGTTTTGTTGTTCATTCATAAGGACGATGGCAAATTGTTGAGGTTGTATCCCCGGACCTAGACCAAAAAAAGCAATTTTTTTTGATTTGTACCACAATTAAATTAAAAGATAATAATAATATTGCATTAAAGAACGTATTGAAGTGGAAATTAACGTTTTACAGCCTCTTCCTGTTACACGCTGCCTGCCGTATATTATGTACCTAGTCGTAGTTGAATATATCAGGGGTGCTCAAAAAGAAATATCTCTTTTCAGTCAAATTTCTCTTTGCTTATTTAAATCAAGAACAAAACAGTGTTAAGTCATTATTTATACAAATATTTTTTATCCATTTGCTTTATAAATTATTTAGGCAAACATTCATGTTAAAAATAATTAAATTGAATCGTAAAATATAAAGAAAAACAGATTTTTAATTTTCTCTTAAATTATCTTATTTTTCTGTTCATGTTCTAGAACACGGTTTTGAGCACCGCTGATATATGTATCATTCACATCCCTTTTACTCTCTTTCATTGCACTTGACTCTCTTAACGTTGCCATGTTTTGTAATAAATTTATATTAGGATAGGTTGGAGTTTTATGGATAAAATTGTGGGTTTTAAATCAGAATTTGTATTTTTTTGTAAAGAATTGTTTTTATAATAATTATGGGAACTTTTAAGGGCTGCAAGATTTTTTTTTAAGGATTTCATTTAGAAAAAAGTTGGAGAGGGTCAGTTTTCAAAATCCCTCATCATGTATTACAATAGCCTTTGAAAATAACAGCATAGAGATACGATGTCCCTGTGTATAAAAATGAATAAAAAAACGAATGAATAAATATACCCTCTATTCCAACATAAAAGGTATAAAAACTATAGTTTTTTTTTTAAAAGAAAGACATTTTTTTAAGATTTTGAATCCCTTTTCCATTTCTAATATAAGCTATTGAAAAATAAGGAAAAATGTAAACTTTCATTTTGTATGTTTTTTTCCTCCACTGTATGAAGATATATTGTTTAAGTAGGTGGCTCTGGTTTCTCTTCAGTCATTTGTGTGGCGCTCTCTGCAATCGCATATGTTCTCTTAAGTAAAACTACAAAAAAAAGAATATCAAATGTATGAATGAAAAAATAATAGTTTTTTGTAAAGCCAAACAGCCAGCCAGTCAACCTTCAAGAACCGACCGACCGCTTAACAAACATTCACATCAGCAGACATTGTGTTGTATGTCTCAGCTCTCAATATGAATGAATGCTATCCAATCCTACAAAGAAGAATGTGTTACTTATCACTCGTTGCGAGTGTCATGGCTGTTTTTTAATTAGTTCTTTTTTTCTTCTTGCTTTTCAGCGATTTTTTAGTAACAGTAAGAGCACAGGTTATGACCAGAGACGAAAGCACCGAAGGTTGGTTACCACTGGCAGGGGGTGGTCTGGCCAACGTTTCGATACGTAAACGTGCTAGGCTATCCCCTGGTGCTACTGGACATGAATACATCATATACGGTCAAAGAATATCAGATCAAAGCGTGAGTAGAATTTGTATTGGTGCATTTAGCAATCTCGATAATATCCTAATTCCTTTCATTTGTCTTTCAGGTTATTTTAAGTTGCGTCATTAATCGCGACCTTAAATATTACAAAGTTATGCCAACGTTTCATCACTGGCGAGCGGGTAAACAGCGAAATGGTCTTACGTTTCAAGCTGCTGCAGATGCCAGGGCCTTTGATAAAGGTGTATTGCGAGCATACAATGAATTAATTGATGGCATGGCAAAATCGAATCCTTCCATTATATGTCCACCACTGACCAAGTATGATTCTGTTGGCGAAGACGATGTTTTCATGGTAAGCAATACCCACTCGCATACATACATGCATTCATATCAAAACTAATGTTGCCTTCTCTTTAAAAACAGACCCTTGACCTACCCTGTGAATCTTTGGAAAATAAACAAAAGGGCTACTCCAGTCCCGAGGGAAGTGAAAACAGTCACAGCTTTAAGGATCGCGGGGAACGCTACACGGAAAGTTCTCAGGACAAAAATGATAAAGAAGTTGCCAAAATTCATTACATATCGGGTGAAAACTCTTGCTTGCAAACCACGCCATCCCTACCTTCCATGACCAGCTCAGCTCAAAATAAGACAACGTCGATGGTGAATACCCACACAACGACAAGCACAACTGTAACAACTGTGGAAACATCTCCAGTTATAGCTCCTAGTGAAAATTATTCCTATGTAACCTTAACTGCGGTAAGTTAGTTTTGTGAAATGAAAACTTGCGGAAGGGGTTTCTAAAAATATCCTTACTCTTTAGGTTCATGACTATAATTATCCGGTAGTGGATCAACCTGTGGCCGCACAAGTCCTAACACGTTGCGACTCGATCACAACTCTGAAGAAATTAAATGCCATTGAAGCTTCTCATTGTTTGGCCGGTACTCAATCTTCGCCCATTTCCAATGTCTTGATCAAAGATCCGGAAATTGATATTCTCAAACATAAAATGCAACAGAAATCAAATCCGGTGGCACCAATACATAATCAAATGACAAGGTGTCGCTATTGTCAGGAGTTGTACAATGACGAATGGAATCGCAAAGGGGCTTGTGAGTTTGCACCAGACTGTTTTCGTTCGGGGTTCGAATGCATTTCGGGTATAGGTTGTGCACGTTGTATGCTTTATCATTTTATGAGTGATTCGGAGGGGGAAACACCCCAACATCCCTGCGAGTGTGCCAATGAGAGTGGATGCACCAAAAGGTATAAAAATTAGGCTTAGTTTTATTTTCCTTAAAGTTATATTGTTGTTGTTGTTTTTGTTGCAGATGGCTTGGTCTAACCTTGTTGTCTTTGTTGGTGCCCTGTCTGTGGTGTTATCCTCCCCTTAGGGTATGCCACCTAATTGGCATTGCCTGCGGCATTTGTGGTGGGAAACATAAACCACAAGTTTGACATTGGGAGGCTGAATTACAAAACAATAAAACTAGATGCAAACAAAAACACCACAAACAGCAGAAGCAGAAACAGCATCCAGAGAAGCAGCAGCAAGGCTATGATGATCTATTTTCCTCGTCTTCATACAATTACAACAATAGATGGCAGCAGCGACAGCAAGAATGCAAAAATCAATACGAATGCGATATTAATATGTTCAAAAGACCACCACTACAAAACCAACAACAATGCAAGCTTGTGGACGATCGTCGTTCCACAAAAGCCGAAGATTCCTTTATACATACCTGCATTAAAAGCCAAAATAACGATTATGGTAATGTGTATTACTAAAACCATGCAAAACAAGCAGCAGCTTAACAAAACTCTCACCAAACCTTTACGAGAGTGAGAGAGAGAGAGGGAACTCAACTTGAGACTTCTCCTATGTGTTTTTATTCCTCTTTTTTTACTACTTAATAATGAGAATTCCTAACATGTTATTACCGTTTTGTGGTCGATTCTTTTGTACTAAAGAAAACAAAGGCTGCAACAGATTAAGTTATAGCCAGCATTTGTAGATTATGTTAATGAATTTGTCCTGTGTACATTATATTTTTTGCTCTTTACTTTATTTCCCATTTTTTTGTACATACATGTATAGGAAGAAAAAAAAAAACAAATCATTTACACACACAAACACACACACAAAATACTTCAAAGAAGTACCTGTATAACTATTATTATAATTATAAATTATTAAATTTGCACAAACAAACAAAACAACTAATTTTTTCTTCAAATCAAATTTAATTTGTTCTAAAGAAAGAAATAACCCTCACTAACATACATGTGTATTTAATTTAAGAAAGCCTTTGTTTTTATTTCTAATCTAATAATTTAATGAAAACTTTTTTGTTTTGAAAAGAAAAATAATCGTTTTAAAATGCTTAATAACACCAGTATTATTAATTTTAGTTAATGTCGAATAACTCTTTTTGGTTTCCGAAACAACAGAACACACAACAACACAAGTCCTTTGGTGTTATACATAACCTTACACTTTTTTATTATTTTTCTTTTTACTAAATATAATATTGTGATTCTTACAACATACACATTTGTTTTACTCAAACGAAAAAGAAAAAAATAAAAGAAAAATTAAAACTTATATACATACCAACAACATATAATACATATACATGTTACATGTGCTAAATAATGAAAGTCACTAGAAAAACAAATGATGATGATATTAAACGAAAAACCAACATTTGTGTTTATATTGCCATGACAATTTCCAATTTGCAGATTTATATTCACAATTGTCTACTAATTGTTAGAAAATGATTTTTTGGAAATTCCTTGGTTTGTTTTGTTTTAAATTGAAAGATATATGAATAGTTTGTTTACTTTAGGGCTCAAAGTATACAAAGTATTCTCAATAAAAAAAAGAAAAAAAAAAATAAATAAATAACTCCCACAATTACTGGCAGTTGTGAATATTAAAAAAAATCATTTGCTATTTTGTTCGAAATCTTGTGGTAATATATTCATGCAAAATCTCTATCTGTAAAATCCCAAAATTCATACATACATATATTACATAAACAACCCATAAAATGATGTATTATTGTAAGTTATTTGGATTGAACAAACACAAAACATCTAATATTTATTAATAATATTACAGCTTAGTATAAATAACTCGAACAACAACTATAATTTAACACAACAAACTAAATAATTAAAAATACTTGCTTAAATTCCTGTTTTTATAACATATAATATAAATAATTGTTATCCTTCAGGAAAACAAAAACCGAAAACAAAAGCATTTTGAATTTTTTGAAAAACTGGAAATTTCATTTTCTGCATTTCAAAAAATATGAAATCCATGCTTTTGGTTTTCATGCAAACCAACTAATTTAGACCTTTTGTTCAAATTGTGGATATTAAAGAAAAAAAAAACTAAAATGAATAATAAAAATAGCAAATTAAGTTAAAAAGGTTGTTATAATTACAAAAAGAAAAAAAAAAACACAAGAAACAAATAATCACTACAATTTTTCTTCACATATATGTGTATATGTATAAATACAATACATACATATGTATATTAAATGCTATTGGGAAAAATACTTAAAAATTATATAATATTAATTAACATATACAAAAAAAATGAAAAGAAAATATATAAATGAAACCAACCAATAACAAACATCCTTAGGACAAACAAAAAAAAAATATAAATATTTTTTTTGCGTAAAGAATTGTTATGAAAACCATAAATAAGTACAAAACCAAAATACTAAAACAAACAGAAACACTTTCTTCAGTGGGCATCAACCAGCGACGATTCACAGCAGTCAGCGGTCAATGTTCATTAACCAACCAACCAACCCCTCCATGAATTCTTAATAAGTACAAAAAGGCAACACAAACATACAACACATTTTTCAAAACCCCACAAACATCCATACAAACAAAAATAGAAAAAAATGTAAAACATAACTAGCATTGTCTTCTTTTTGCCTAACAATAACAAGAAAATGTAACAGAAAAAAAGATTATCCGCCAAAAAACAATATCAGATGCTATTAGAATGGGGAAGAAAAACAAAGTACATTACATTTAGTAATAATCATATAACATCTTTTCCCCCCATCTCAAATAGTTTTCGTGTCATTCTATAATGGAAACAACAACTAAAATAAAAAAACGGAACAGAACACAGAAGAAAAAAGAAATGGAGTTTTTTATTTGTCAAGGGTGGGCAAACTAGGATGTGCAACTCAATTTCAAGGGCAAGGTATTGAATATTGAGGATACTAATTTTTCCCATTAACTAACACGAATTCGAAAATAAATTTTCTAGTTTATTTGAATAATATTTTTACATACTAACAGAAATGGGGTACTGTATTAAAGACTTAAATATATATTTTGTACTTAAGCAGCTACCAACTTAAAAAATATGACTGCCTCAAAAAAATGCAAAATAGCAAATAACTCGTCCAAGCTGAAATCTAAAGGTGCCAAATTCATAGTCAGTCGAGTCGATGTTTCGATAAAAAATGTAGTAGTTAATTTTAAGGGCTTAATATAGAAGACCATTGGGGGCTTATAATAGGTGTTGAAAGGCTCTAATAGTCGTACCTTGACTTCCAGCAGAAAGGCTTAGAGTGATCAATGAGTAGAATGGTGCGTATTTCTTTTTACGTAAAACTACTCTAGAACAGCAATCTATTTTATAAATTAGGATTTGGAATACATACAAAATACTAAAACAAGGATAGAACTGTAACTCATTATTTTCCATTTGCTTTTAATTCCTTGAGAACTTCCTCCTCTGATATTGTTTCAGACAACTGAAAAAAAAAAAAATAAAACAAAAACATTAATTTTCCAGAAAACAACAAAACAAAAGAAAACAAAACATGTTTTGCCCACCACATCAGCTAATTGTACAATTTGCAGGGCTTGAGTATAACCATCCGAAGCCGAAGGAATTTTATCATAATTCCAATATGTGAACTCCTCAAATGTGCCCTTAACTCTCAGTATGCGTTCAGCTTCCTCGTCCAATGGTTTGCGGGTCTCCTGTAAGACAACACCTATAAATGGATAAAAGTTATGGGCTTGCTTTCCTCCATTAAAATCAAGTTGTCAACACAAACCCGTAATATTTGCTGGAACCTTTTTTATCTCTCCCTGCAGAGGATATCCGCGCAAAGCATTTGTAAGGAAGCCATTCTCTTTACGAGTATAAGCTGAAAAGTACTGCTCCACATTGGCCTCGCCGTTACCCTTGATGTTTGCCGGCAAGAAATGCATGTCCAGCTGTTGTCTATCTTTTTTGATTTTACCACTATTTACTTCAATGGTAATCGACATTATTTTTATTTTATAAAGCGAACAAAATCAATAACTTTTAAGAATGAAGAAAAACTATTAAAGACAAAAACTCGAACAAGACAAGGCAATGTTGACAGACGATATTTTGGCGGTTTGCTGTATGGACAAAAAAGAGTTCCTTAGATCGATAATCGATTGTAAGCATTTCATTCTGAATGGCAGTCAAGAAGAAGAATTCTCTTAACGAATAAAATGTGAAAACTGCCATACGAGAAATTTCTCCCATTTCTCCTATAAAGATTTGCCTTGTCGCAAGGAAACTCGACTCATATAAAATTGGAAAAGAGTGATGTTGACTACAAATTTCATAGATACTCTATTTGGCGTCAATGGTATAAAATGGGGTAAACACCATCAATCAAAAGGGGAAGGGACGTTAACTAAATGCTCAATGTGTGGGCTGCCAATATATAACTAAATATACATTTTTTCTATGGAAAACTATGTAACCATGTATAAAACTAACTATATTGTGCTTTATGTCTAAGAAAAAGTTTTTGTCTCGTTTTTGTATGTTCATGGTGCAACCCTTCAATAAGAAGGGTTGCTCAACTTCGAAGAAGGAAAATGCAACTTTTTACCGGAGTGACAAATATATTTGGATTTGTTTATTTCACTTTTTGTCACAAAATTACTATATTGTGGAAAACCCACAAAATATGAATGAAATATTGGGTTATCTCCACAAAATTGAAACCAAGATTGAGGGACAATGTTGTTTCATGCCGATAACGTGACAAATATGCATTTTTGTTGCTCTAAATTTGAAATCATTTTAAATTATTTCCTTTTTATTTCAAAAAATACACACATATATACAAACTGAATATGTTTTTACAGAATAGGGGCACCGAAAGAGAAAAGGGTGTAAATTTGTTCTATGTGTTGCACGAAATGACTGACCAATGGAACATTTTTGAACCATTTTCACTTCACAAATACTCAAAATACATTGTGTAGTTTGAAAAACAAAAAACTACTAAGGCTCTTTTGGGCTTAAATACTTCATATTTGGCTGCACTGGATATTATCTGAACATTATTAATTCTACTTCCTGCAAAGCTGAAGGTAAGACAAATATTCGTTATAATTAATAGTGGAATTTGTTTATTTCGCGAATCAAGGCTTTAAGATTTTGGTCGACATGCCGATATCAGCGTAGCATGCAAATGGGAAGTGCAATAAAAAGTTAACGTTGTTTGTAATTCTAGGCTTTGCGGCTAAATAATTTACCTCTCCCAGAGTATCTCAGTTATCTGAAAAATTTCAAATACTTGACCCACAGATCAGAGAACTTTATCGTAGGATAGCATCAACTTGCAAGTAAATTACTACGTGTTGTCTTGTTTTGAACTATATCCGTAGCCACACAATGCACTTTTGGGGTTTTTAGAAGAAAGTGTAACATTTGTCTAGATTATACCATGGTAGAAGACTACAGGTGAAACTGTCAAATCAATTTTGAAATTGTAAATTTTAAATGAAAAATATTCACCTCCGATTTATGTTGAATAAGAAAACTTAAAAAAACTTACTTAGTTTTGAAAAACCACTTTAAAATATTTGACATATCAATGTTGTTAAGCATCTACCTGTATTCTTTTATCATGGATATTACCATCATTCTGTTCATCATAATGTGTAGGTTCTATATAAAGTTATATCAAAATACCAGGTGGAAACAAATGTTTGTTATAGCAGGTGTTTAAGACGCGGTTTCGTTGTAGGCATCTTCATTGTTGTCGCTAGCACTCCATGGTATACAAATATATATGATCTATCCACTTGTTTATCAATATCATCGGCAATGGGACTGCCAATTGGAATAATGCTATTTGATATTTTTGTCATAGGTGGGACTTCAAATTATTTGTTGCCTGTCCACATAAACTCATCTCTCCTCTTCATTATATAGAATTATTATAAACAATGTATCATTTTTTCTATAAAAAGGGTTTTTTATTTTAACACCACGGAAAATTGTGGAATGACATATTTTTTCATAACTGCATTGAAATATACAGATAAAAAATTCTTTTTAAGGTAGGAATAATTATAATAATAAAATTGGATGATTAACTTATGAAATAACTAAGAATTACCAACACGCTCCTCGTTTCGTCTAACATAAGCGACACGACACAAAATGAAAGTAGAAAGCAACAGCGGGGCAATATTACCAAATGATGACGTCGACAATATTATGAATGAATATTATGTCGTTTTGGAAGCTGAATGCCACTTATCATTTACGATTTAAGAACGGTTGTATTTGCCCCAGATGTGTAGCATGAACACGGAGGCGATAAACAGGAGAGACATTACCAAAACTGGAACTGGGCCACTAAAAATATAACAGGTTGTTGAATTGTAAAACCTTGTCGCTCCATAAAAGACACACTCATTGACTTACACTTTAATACCGGGAGAATCATCGGTATAGAAACGCCACATACCACCGGTGCCAGCACCACCAGCAGCACGGCTTCTGGGTGCAGTTGTGCTGCTGCTTGTGGTTTTACGTTGTTTCAGATTGCTTCCACCAGCACCGCCGCTACGTGGTGCAGGAGACGACAATTTGCTGGGAGAGCGGGTGCCACTACCCACTGTGGTAGAACTAGCTGGAGCAGGCTAAAACACAATATTATTTCATTTAAATTATTTATTCGTCACTTTTTTCTTCTTATAAACAAAAACACTTTACCATTATTTTTCTTTATTCTAAAGCAAAATAAATTAGGGAAACACGAGCAAAACGCCACTAAAGTCACTTTACAAATGCACAAATGTCTGCAGACGTATGAAATGTCAATTCTCGCTTTCGTGTTATACTCATTCGTCGTTGTCAGTTCAATTTGGCAGTTGCCACGTAGTGTTGACACTAGTGACAGTTCTGACGTAGTGAAAGTGAATGTGACAGCCTACCTAAGCTAAAAGCGTGTCTTGTAAAAAGGTTCATGTGATTTTTTTTAAATCGATGGATGGATATTCTATTATTTAAAGTTTACCAGGCCCTGGACCTCGATTCTTGTTCTATGAAAATATGAAATGAAAAATTGTTCTTTTATAAAATTTTTCATTTGACATTTCTTTCCTTTATAAAAATTTTCATTTCAAATTTTCATAGAACAAGAATTGAGGCCCTGGATTCTTGTTCTATGAAAATATGAAATGAAAAATATTTTCTTTATAATATTTTTCATTTGACATTTCTTTCCTCTATAAAAGTTTTCATTTCACATTTTCATAGAACAAGAATTGAGGCCCAGATGTAGTAGAGCCAGTCGATTTAAACTATTATATATGGTAGAACGCATGAAAAAAGAATACAGGTGAAGCATCAACCCCTGGAAACATTGATTTGTCAAACATTTTAAATGTTTTCTCAAAAAAGTTTGGATTTGGATATTTTTTCCTATACGACGGTAATCGGAGTTTTTGGCGAAATGAATTTTATTTTTTTTATTTTACCATAGTAGAATGCTTAAGATCATTGTTATGTCAAAATTTTATTATTATTATTATTTTTTTTCAAAAATCAGTAGATTTTTATGTTTTTCTTATACGACGCCCATCGGAGGTTGTTATGATATGGATTTTTCAACTATTTTAAAGAATTTGAATACTTTTTCATTCAATTTTACAGTACACAAAGCGGATTAAGATTGCCAATTTCATTGCCCATGCGTCAAATAAATGTTCATAAAGGGCGCTAGCTAGTCCCTGCAAAGAGAACCAGTGTAAACATATTATTATATTGAAATATACTCATGGTAGAAGAATATAGGTAGACGCATCGACACAGCTGCTGGGACAATGAACTGTCAAACCAATTTTGTAATTGAAAATGTTGAATGAATGAAAATGTTGAAAATTTATTTAAATTTGTACAAATTCTTGAAAAATGCATACCATTGGCGTCGTATAAGAAAACATATAAAAGTCTACTTATATTTGAAAAAACATTTAATTTTTTTGACATATCAATGCTCTCAAGCGTTGATGCATCTACCTGTATTCTTGTGCCATGAATATACTCCAAATAAAAATAGCTTGAAAATAAATTATGTAACAGATCCAGAACCAAGGTAAAATTAAGAAGTTAACCTCGTGCAATTATATGTTTACATTTTCTTCTCAAAATTATACCTTTGACAACATGTCATTGACAATATTTCAATAGATTGGAACTTTTTTTGAAAAGAAGTTAAACTTGTTTAGGCAAATTACAGAAACTTTAGGGTGCTGTGTATTGTTACTTGAAATGAGATCACCTTGAATTAATGGTCCCATGTCCAGAGCATTTTTTAAGAAAATATGGATATGGACATTTGGAAAATTCAGTTTTTATTTAATAATGGCTGATAAAGTTAAATTAACATCTAGATCCATGTTTAAATATAAGTGTTTTCCATTGAAAAATAAACATTAATATGACGTGGATGTCTTATCGCGCTTATCCCTGTAAAGTGTAAACGTAGTTGTTTTTAATGCCCTTTAACCCAAAGAAATAAAACAGCATTGATGTACGTTTTATATTTCTTCTTTTAAAGTTCAGTTTTATTTACTACTGAATTGAATAAGAACGTAATAATAGCTGGAAGAGAGAGAGAGAGAGAGAGACAGAGATTGCATAATTTTTACAAAACTCGTTAATAATTTTAAACGGAGAATTTTTTCTTGTCCACTGTACTTTTGTAGTAAGTTTTATATTAATGTTTATTTAATATATATTACGACTTCAGTTTAAATAAGAGAAATAAGTTAAAATAATCAAGAAACAATAATTTCTATATAAGTTGTATGCATGTAAATTAGAAGCAAAACAGGTGTTGAATACATAAACTATTTTTTAAAAAAGATAATTTTATGTGATTTTTTTTTTTTAGAAAATGGACCTTGGCCTACATGGTGGTAGTACAGATTACAGTGTTAAAGAAAATCACTACTCATACATAACAATATTTGGTCGCATCGTCGTCCGAAGAGATGCTTGTCAAAGTATAATAAACATAATTTAAATTTAAAGCATATAAACTACAATAGGTTTTACATTGGTTGGTTTATTTGATTATCCATGGATCGAGTTTCTTTGTCAGTTTTTTCAACGTCTTTTTCCGAATTGGTAATCGACTGGGAAACTTTTGGTTTCCCTTCGTCCAGTGATTGTCAATTCTCTGCTGACATATTTCCAATGTCTTCATTGATGGCCAATACCTGTTGAATAAACCCTTGATCCATTACAGCTTCCGCCAAGGATGTTAATAACCTTGATAGTTCCTTTATCGACATGTTCAATTGCGGTGCTAGTTTTTCTATGTGCTGCTGAACATTCTCTGGAATCTGCAAGAATGAAATGAAATCAGAATTAGTTCCGTAAATATAAAGATGCTGTCGGCTGTCCTACCTTGTTGTTTTGCTTGAAAACATTAAACATAAATTTGACTTTGACGCGTTGCTCCGAGTTGAGACCTTCATAGAACATTGTGAAATGAGCTTCATTGCTATTAGCGACAATTGGTAAGTATATGCCCGCATAAACTCTGCCTTTCGCATCACGTGACAACAAGGATCTAAAATTATAGACCAAGTTGCGACGTACCGTGACATCGATGGCCGTGACATATGGCTGAGCAACATATACCAATGACGATTTGTATTGACTTTCATCTCCTCGGATTTCTCTTTCCTTCCATTCAACATACATGGGACTGTATTTGCTATAGGTGTAGCAATAGTCCCTTTGTAAATGGGCTTCCTTGGACTGTGTGAACCACCCTATTGTAAATTGATTATATATTAATGATTGCCGTATAGAGTACATTATAAAGCCAACGCTTACCTGTATGAGGATAGTTTTGGTCTTTCATTACAGTCACACAGCGACCAACATGATATCCCGGATCCAAAATCAAAACACCATCACGCCCGGCAATATTTATTTTCATGGCAACCATTGCATGTTCCTTTTCCACATTGGCATGCGTCGAATTGAGACCACCAACATCTTCGGCAGTTTCGATGTATTCACGCAATGCCACAACTTGTTCCTCGCACGAAACGATGTACAGATATTGTTCCAATATCGGAAAGAGTTCTACAATACGGGCCATAATTTCCATGGCCAGCGAAACACACATATGATCGCGACGATTGATGGGTATGTCATAGAATTGATAGAACGATTTTAGATCTGAACGTCGAGTGCGTTTGAAGGCTTCGTAGAATGCAACGAATAGATGAACGGTATCATAATGGGTCTCCTCTAACATACGCTGCAGCTTCGTTTCGATAATGGCACTTAGATCTTCATATTGCCAAACTGAGTCAAAATAAAGGACACCCTTGTTAGCTTCTTCGTCCGCAGCCCAATCTGGCAGAGGCAATGGATGTCCCAGAGGCCAAATTCCATTGATTTGATTAAAAGCTTCGATATTATAGCCTTCTCGTCCTTCCCATAACTTTGTTCGTCCATCGCCCGTTGCTGTTGCGGAGTGTGGTGGTGGTGGTGTTGCGTTGGTCGTTGTGTCCTTGCCATTCCGTGGCCACCATTTAAGATGCTGCTCCTCCAACAGCTTGTTGATGCTGAGGCATCGTTCCGACGACAGATTTGATGTCAAATTATTGCATGGTGATTCATTTCCAATGCTTTCATTGTCGAAGTCATCTTCATCATCGGTTGAGCTATTTGAGCTTTGTGTATGACCGTTACTGCACAACTGTGCAGTAGTTCCTTTGCATTTGGGTATATCTCGATCAGAATCGATGGCTGTAGTCAATCCAGTCCGTATCGATCCCGCCGATAACCCGAGGTTGCCGGCGGTGGAGCCGGCATGTCGAACCAGGGCTTCGGCGAGTCAACTAGGCCATTCGGCACCCCAACGGCCGACCGTTGGCACATAGCCGCGTTCGAAGTCATTGGATGTAGTGTCTTGATTAATTTTGCTTGTTAATGCGTTTATTGATGAAATTGAAGTCGTTTGCTGCGGACCAGCAGTGCTGCTGCTATTGAAATGCAGACTATTCCGGCCCTGTGTTTTTTTCACGAGGTCCGGCTCGTCTCCAAAACTCGATGGTTGTTTAAAATGCTCTGTGTGGAAAAAATATTGAGATTAGCATTGAGTTGAGGCGATTTTATAATGTGTTTACTGTATGCAGTTAAGTGAAGAAATCGTTGTGTATTATTTATCCGGACAATTTTTGAAGTCCTAAACATTTATATGCGATGATAATGTAGTGTGGTTGAAATTATATTGAAATAAAGAATGATAAGTCCAGTTCACTTCGTGCTTCGAATACAAACTAAAATCATTGTTTCCTTCAACACTCATTAGGTAGAAAATATTATTTTTTTACCTGCCCTTAGGACGTGCCACCTGTGCCGCATTCCTTTATGAAAGAATGCTGATATTTGACACGTACAGGCTCGACACGTATAATGGTGGTTTGCACCTGTTACTCACATTGAAATGTATTTGGCTTAGATGAGAACAAAGTCGTAAAGAAAGATCATTTTGCTTAACACTTGAAGAAATTATGAGATTATTTTTGCTTTAATGTCTGTGAGTCAGTGAGTCTAAATACCCCATGTATGGTTGCCAGCCTAACAGCCATATGGCAACTATGAATTTGAAAGAAGTGAGAGCGAGAGTGATGATTAGCAAGAGAGAATTGGTAGAGATGTCTAAAGCGGAAACAGCAATTAAATTGCGACGGCTGTTAATTTTGAGTCCAACAGAAATAAGAACTTTTGATTAGATTACAGCCATTGTTGGAGATAACGATAAATAACTGCTAGTTATTAGTTTATGTAATTAGTCTGTGTTGTTGCTAATCGACCAAAGAACAAAAATAGAACGAGGCGACAAGATCGCCCTCAATGAAAAATGTTGTGACGTCATGTTACAGTGTGTGTATTTCAAAAAGCGAACAAAAAACCGAAGAATGAATAGCTACGTGTTTAAATTAAAAAAAAAAATAATAATAAAGACAAAGAATGTCTGTTATAGGTATATGTATAAATGCATGAATGTACGTCGTTTCTATTATACATTGATGCAGCATTTCACTTACCCATACAATGGCAAAAGCCCCAATATCCAATTATCGTCTTGTTTTGCAATTGCTAAGCTGTTAACTTTAATAACTTTTCCAAACAGTGATTCACAATTCGGGATTTACACGATGATTATGAAATTGTATTTGTTTTCCTTGGAATTACGTTAGTCGTCCGCCAAGACAAGGACGTGCGTAAAATGTTGTGATTTCTAGTAGTTGTTCTTGTTTTTGTTGTTGCCTGCTTATATCAGGTCCGTTAACCTTTGTATTGGTGAATTTATCGACATCGAAATTATTATTTTTCGCTTCAAACACTTGTGTCTTGCACAAATAATTTCCAAATTGCTGTTGTTGTGGCGATCTTATGATCAAAGTGCTGCCTGCACCAAAACACAATTATTCTTGATTTACTAATAACACTTTCGCTATCAGTGGCTAGTTCACAGAAGTGTGGTGTTATACCAACGAGAGCCAAACTACGACTGAGGGTTTAACTTGTATACAATGACCATATGATGCTTGTGTATATATAGGCACCAGAACTCGCTCAATCTTTTTGTGATCACTTGGTTGGTTTTTTGAGATTTTTTTCTCTGTGGAATATTTTGCACTCTTTCGTTTGTATTGGAATACTAGAGAATTCGTTATCTTTTTGTTGTTGTTGTTGCTGTCTGTTTATTTGTTTGTTTACAATAGGAAATGAGAGCACTGGCATTAGATTGTGCACCCTTTTTGTTGCTCTGTGAGGAGCAGGGGGGGTAGTAGGTGATCACGTTGTTACCACCACGGTGTTTGGGCTGTACAATAATTTTGATAGACTACAGCGGGGCATAAATCAGAAAGGAAAGGTACCAGCCTTAGATTAGGCTCTTTATTATAATTGTTGTAGTTTGTTTTATTTTTCCCTTTTTTATGTTAATGCGTAATTAAATGTTGTTAATTCACACAAAGATTTTTGTTGTTGTGTTTTTTTTTTGTTAGGTGATAAACAAATCAATTCTCAACAATCTCATATAATAATAAACTCTGCTTTAACTTGTTATTGTTTAGATAACTTCAAAAATATATAACTCTTCACTGCACTTGGGAAAACGATAACACCTTTTTTAAGACTTAGACTATCCGCTTCGATTTGTCTTTGCAAAATCCAAACCTTGTCACACGTGCACTCACTGGAATTCTGTAAAAGGAACAAAAACAAGGACAAATAAATTAATAAAAAATAATGATAAATATGTATGAAAATGCATCTATGGATGTCTTATAATTCCCTATATGTGGAAAAACATGTAGTATGTATGTATGTATGCAAGTTATGATGCTTGGCAAATATTGCGTCGTAATTTTGCCTAAACAATTGTTGTGTTTTTTTAGAGGAATGCATATTAATGAGGCTAAAATATAAAAGAACACAATTTAACAGAAAAGCGGATATGCAAATTTTATCCAACATTACAGACATTCGAAAATTATGCCGCATTTTGAGCAAACGGTTTGTGTCTACAATACACAGAGTAACAGCTCATGGCAGAGACATGTTAATATGAAAACCACAATTACAGAAACGAATGGCAAATAAAATTTTGAAAAAATCCAAAGTTTTGGTTTCAAAATTCTATTCCATAGACCTTTACAAAAATTTGCATATTGTCTTAGCGGTTTAAATCACTTAACATTGCTAACTATGTTTTTATGATATCATAATAACAGAGGTATATTTACAGGGTTGCCATATTTTGACTCTGTCTTCTATGTCTTTGTTTACATATTTAGTGGAGCTTCATATAACAAATCATGGTATAATTAAGAAGGTAAAGTCATGAAATCATATGTTTACATTTTTTTTTAAATTATTCTCATTGCCAAAATATTTATTTATAAATCCATTGTACAGACACAAATCAGAAATGGGAACCACATTTCTATGCAGTGAAATTTGACAAGGTAAATTACAGAAAATGCAAAAATGGGAATGCTTATTTGAAATGACTCTACCTTCTTAATTTTACCATGATAAGAAAAAAAAAAAAAATAAAAACAAATAAAAAATCACATGAAGAACAGTGAGATAAAAAACTGTAACAAAGTCAAACGCCATAATTTTGACATTTATTTTAAATTTTATTGAATGAAAGTAAAAATGTCGGAAATAGCATCTACTTTTAGAATAAGTTTACATTTGTTCAAATTGGTCACATTTGGCACGAATTATGGCCTTCAAACGGCCAATGAAATCATTCGCTGCCCGAATGTTGCTCTTCGACATTTTGGCCCATTCCCGGCGAAACGCTTGCTTGAGGTGATCGACACTTTGGTATTTTTTAGTGCCAACCTTGCTTTCCAAAATACTCCAAACACAATAGTCCGACGTATTAGTATCCGGAGATTTTGGTGGCCATTGTGCGCTGGCAATGAAGCGGGGAACCTCAATTTGTAGCCATTCGTGGGTGGCGCGTGCTCAGTGCGATGATGCTGAGTCCTGTTGGAATGTCCAAGGTCTGCGGCCAAAATGTTTGCGTGCCCAAGGCTTTAATACACCCTCCAGAATATTTTCGGGATAATATTCGGCATTTATTCTGATGCCACGGTCGATAAATACGAGTGGAGAGCGACCATCGGCTTTTATTTCGGCCCACACCATCAGCATGGCAGGCGCTTGAGTTCTGGTGTCAATTAAACACGAGCGGATCATTTTGTTTGTTTGAGAAAACGAATGTTTTCTCATCGGAGAAAAAACAAATTCGGCAGTTCACCACTTTTGGCGAAGCAACTCTTTAGCTCTTTTTTTCTGGTGCGGTGTAAGTTCTTGCACTTTTTGGAATTTTAATGGCTTTACCCCGAGCTCATTGTCAATATTTGCCGAATGGAATATTGCGATATGTTTACTTTTCGAACCATTTCTGACGGTAACGAGCGATGGTACGAGACACAAAAGATTTATTCATATTTAAATTCTGGAGTGGTTTAACGATAGCTACTTGTGGTTTTCAAGCCAAATATAAAGAAGTCATACTATCACGCTTGAATTCCATCACGAATAATTTTTTTTTCGGGAAAATTCAAACCAAAATGCTTTTGTACGCTTGTAAACACAATATAAGCTGTCACTGGAATAATTTTAACAGCTGTTACACGAGTGGCTTAGAAATGACAGCAGTCTGAAGTTGGTTGCAGTTTACACATAACAAATCGAATGAATGTTGATGGTCAATTCTATTAGATCCAGTGGATTTGAGTGTCGAATTTATTTGAGTATACGTAATAAATTGACATTTCATATCCACTCCATTTGGTAAGTGTAAAGGTACCCTTATATCTGACAGATATATTGAACCTTTTAAACATTATAAAATTAAGAAGGTAAATAAGACTATCCATCTCTGGATTTTCTGTAATTTACCTTGTAAAATTTTACTGAATAAAAAACAGAAATCCCAGCTCTGAAAAATCAGAAATCCTCTCCTTCCCAAAATCACATATTTTTAATCTTTGGGAATTTTACATCAGACAGAAAAAGGTCAAAGTATAAGGTTTGTTTCTCATCTCAGTGAGATTGTGGTCGAAGTGTAAATAATTCAAGGCGTCAATAATACTTTCAGTTGATAATAAAATTATTGTAACCCAAAACATCAGAAACATCTATTTGCGGTTACTAAACACTGGAGCAGTGGAAACTAACGGAAAGCAATGCTTTGATGCTAGAATTTCAAGGTTGAATAAGTGCTTTTATAGAGAAACAGTTGTACATTCAACTTAAGTGTAAAATGCCTAGTGTAATTGAAACTGGGAGGAGAAGAAA